AACTTCTTAATGATGCCCAGCCCTAATGTTTTTGTATATATGTGGGTATATTTTTTGCAGATGACAGGTAAGCACTCCAAAGGTTATTCAAAAAACAAAAAAAAAAAAAAAAAAACACGTGATTATGTAAAACAATTGGGGTAGGACTCCATAAGTTTTTTAAACTTCATCCTGCTCCTTTTGAGCACCAGGTCCCAAATATGTCATGTGTATATCACTATTTTTGTTATTGTTTTTGAATTTTGTTGTACCTGGCTCAAACAAAGAAATAAATTAAATTAAATGAAATATATCGTATTGAATTGTATAGAATCGTAAGTTCACTGTATCGAGATATGTATCGTATTGTGCTTATGTATCGAGGCATGTATCGTATCGGCAACTTCTGAATGATACCCAGCCCTCGTACATTTACATTTATATAATTATGTCTTATTTGCCACGTGTCTCTTACTCTTTTTTGCTTATTTAGAATTTATTTATATTTTTACTCTTTGTTATTGTATTATATTGTGATGTGTGAGCTCCTGTGTCCAAATCATTTCCCATCTGGATCAATAAATTTGTCTAAGTCTAACTGTATAACTAAATATTTATGCAATTTTTGGTAACACTTTAGATTAGGGACCACATATTCATAGTTAGTTAATAGTAAAATGCATAATAAGTGCTTAATTACATCTTTGTTAGTATTTATAAAGTACTTTCAATGCATTTTTGTCTAAGGCTGTATTTTGTGTGTACTAATCCATGAACTATTTTCTTACTATTAAAGTCACGGAGATCACAATAGATGTTTTTATCCATAAGCTGAAATCTGAATAAGCATTAATAAGTGTTTGATTAACAGTTAGTTAGTCATTAATATGTGGTCCCTAAACTAAAATGTTACTGTTTTATTGTTTTAAAAAAAAGATGATACAGCAAAATCATTGTTGACCTTAAAAAACAAAAACAAAAAAACAAACGAGAACATTTGGATTTTAAAATGTCAAATGTGTGTGTGATTTCAAATGTCTTTCTTTAAAAATGTTAACACACTGCAGCACTTTACTTTGCACAGAAAGATGAATGAACATGATGCTTGATGTTGAATAAAGAGGCTGCACATCACTCTTGTCTCTGTCAGGTTTTTACAGTGTGTGGAGTGGAGCGTGAAGGGAAGACTTTGGCCGCTAGGGGTCGCACTGGCTGTTCGGAAAACACCTGCCTGTCCTCTGATTCCAACACCAATAATCCTCCCTGAGAAGTGGAAACGTGATGGGTGAATGTACGACTCTTTGTCTAATGAAAAAGGATTTATTCAGCCTCATATCCAAGTCGTGTTATTGTATAAACACGAACGGGCTCCTCACATCATCACTTTTCATTTGTGAGATTCTGATACAACACAAATAGACTAGAACAACTCAAGTCAAACACAAAAATTGCAAGTTGAGCTATAAAATTGGCGCAACTAACCAAACTTTTCATTTTATATGAAATTTGATTCTAGAACGTGATGCTAAACTCTCAGATGGAGGAAAGAGACAGTTTCCCCTATTGATTACATTGTACTTTGCCATAAAATATCCAAAAGATAAATTCACAAATGTTTAACTTCATCATTTCTATAAGTGAGTATCCCCAAGAACTCACCCTGCCCCCGTCTGTATGAAATATTACTGGCTTATAGAACGTTGTGATGCCATCTGAAGCCCACTAAGCCACAAAATTATATTATAGGTCAACCTCAAAATAAAAATATGGACTATCTCTTTTTTTTTATCAAAATATTTTTATTGTTTTCAAACCATCAAATATATACATTTATACATGCTACTGGCAGGTAACAAACTCACAAATGTCAGTTCTGCAGAGCTGGAAAAAAAAGAAGTCCAAGTTGCACGTTCTCCACCAGAGTAGATCCACTTGTAAAATGGCACAAGAAATAATAAATGACAATAATAAAACAAAGAAAAAAACAACAACAAAACAAAACAAACAAACAAACATCGATTTTCTTGGATGTTCTGTTTCAGATGCCTCCTGGACGCCTCCCTCGGGAGGTGTTCCGGGCATGTCCCACCGGGAGGAGGCCCCGGGGAAGACCCAGGACACGCTGGAGGGACTATGTCTCTCAGCTGGCCTGGGAATGTCTCGCGATCCCCCTGGAAGAACTGGAGGAAGTGTGTGTGGAGAGGGAAGTCTGGGTGGCCCTTCTCAGACTGTTGACCCTGCGACCCGACCCCAGATAAGCGGAAGAACAACAAAAATAAATAAATCTAAACCCCCACCCACCCTGTCACTGCACAGGTAGAATATCTATACCAGGTGCTGTAATAATTCACATATCACATTCTATTCTTTTTCTATTCTTTTTAAAGATCTGAATACAACTGCAGGAAACGGCCCCATGTTTTCTCAAATGCACTAATCACTTTTTAAGCATTTGTCTACTAGTCTATGTTATTCCACTGGGCACATTAATAACAAACTATAGTCAGAGCTTTTTCAGTTGAAAATGTGAATGAGTCAGATTTAGAGTCATGATATCTGCTCCACAATGATGTCATCGTGATCATTCTGGGGTCACAGGCTACAAATTTCCTTCAGGATATTACAGTATCTATTTGTCTATCTACATTTTATCCATAGGTTTTGTGAAGATTAGTATATAAGCAATGCAAAATTAAGTATTATATTTTATTTTATTCAAAAGTCCTTCAGAAATCACCTGACTTCATATCCAAATTCAATTCATCTTTACTCCGGATTCATGGTCCATTTTAAAACAGACAAACAGTGACGATTAAAGATGTATCCATATCCAAATCTCTCTGTATGATATTATCACGATATGCATCTCATGGTACGATATTTATTGTGATATAATTGTAGATGGGACACTTTTTTGCTTTTAAAACACCCTGACAAGATTTTGGGGTCAATTATTACTGTCAGAATACCAAGAATTCAAGTAAAAGCATATTTCTTCATGTTGTCTGCGCTGAAATGAATCATGGGATATGTAGTTTTCAATGTTTATTAGGTATTGCTACTATAAAACAATGTATTTAAGCAAAAGATTTTGTAATTCAATATATTGTGATAGCCCACGGTATTATTGTGAAACTTTTGATGATACAATGTCATGATAGTTCAGTTATTATTACATCTCTAGTGACAATACAAAAGAAAAAGCATTTATGTTTTTAAAAGAGCCACACCAGTGTCTCCACATATTGCACTGAATCTCATATTTGGGAGAGACATTATTATTCCATTGTCCGAGTTGTTGAGTCTGCAAATAAAACTGTACATTCAAGTTCTTAGTAGAGCCTGCAGAGTTCACTCGTGCAGTAACAAACATCTCACATATTGAATATTGGCCTAATTAAATCCAAACTATAAACAGCTGAATATATATATAAAAAAAAGAACACTTCAGAGTTTATTCAGCCAAACAAGAGTTCAAGAGAAGTTTGTGGTTGTGTTTTACAGATCTAGTTTAGATTTCATGCCAGTTTTTTATGAACCTCAACCACAACATGTAAAAGATGCAGAGGTGGCACATCTTAATCACATTTGAGACCTAACATCACAGAATCTATTATACAAAACAGGTTAAGAACATGACTAATAATTCATCAAACCTGCTCCCTCCCTACCCGAGTGCGTGTCTCATTGTGTACATTGTGGTTATGGTTAGTGTCTGTTTGTTTTCTCACTTCCTTTAATTGAACTGTTATGTACATTTGCACTTTCTTGTATAATTGTTATTGTTATGTTTTTAGGGTGACCATGTTTACCATCTGTGCAGGGACTACAGATGAAAAATCGCCTCTCTGGCTTATTCTGGTACATTTTACTGAACTGTCCCTGCTAAATACACCAAAAAAAAAAAATCTGATGGACTGCCATAATGCCATATGAATTGTAACATTTATATGTATGTTCCAAAAGAATTAAGCACAGACTACACCACTGCTGTGATATCCACTTCTACTCACCCTTATGGAACAGATAATACTCCCTACGACTGTACAACAACTCACCCTTATGGAACAGATAATACTCCCTACGACTGTACAAGAACTCACCCTTATGGAACAGATAATACTCCCTACGACTGTACAACTCACCCTTATGGAACATATAATACTCCCTACGACTGTACAACAACTCACCATTATGTAACAGATAATACTCCCTACAACTGTACAACTCACCCTTATGTAACAGATAATACTCCCTACAACTGTACAACAACTCACCGTTATGGAACAGATAATACTCCCTACAGCTGTACAACAACTCGCTCATATATGAAGGTGAAGGCATCAGTGGTGCCCGTGGTGATCGGACACTCGGGCTGTAACCCCCAAACTACTGGAAGAGTGACTACAGCAGATACCATGAAAACAACAGTCATCTCCGTCCAGAAAAGTACAGTACTGGGAACAGCAAAGATACTGCACAGAACTCTCAAGCTCTCAGGCCTCTGGTAAGAGGACCCGAGCTGGATGAGGGTGAGAGAGACCAACCACCGTGGAAGGTGAGGAGCACTTTTTACTTTTTTTTTGTTTGTTTTGTTTTTACATTTATATAATTATCCCTATTTGTCTAACTCTAACTAACTCTTTCTAATTTTCCAAATAATTTCCCTTGTGTTGTGGATCAATAAAGTTTATCCAAGTCTAAGTCTAACATCATCCTCAGCATTTTGAAGACTGAAGCTCCGAAAAATAAATGGACACAACTTAAAAAAAAAAAAAAAAAAAAAAAAAAAAGGTGATAGTACATTTTCAAACTTGCTTTAAATGTGCATGTAAATAGCATTGTTTCTGGTCTAAAAATCTGATACAAAATCTTAATAAACACATTAGCTTGGTCCCAGTGTCAAAAAATAAATAAAAAAAATAAGAAGTCTAACATCATCCGGATAATCTCCATGGCAACCAGCTTCTAGAGAGCCTACCGGTTTACAGCGATGACTGCCGTAAAACCAACATTAAAAATAGCCTCATTCCACGAACACAGACTCATTTAACCCGTTTAAACCATTGTTCTAATAAAATAAGCTGTATTTCGAGGACACATCGCAAACTAAGGAGTCACCGTGTTTCTTTTTCCAAACTTGAGCCTGCCTGAAGACGCACCTGTCGTCCCGAGATCCTTTGCGTGTCCAATATGGAAGAACTGGCGGTGGAGGTCCGTGGCTCCAACGGCGCTTATTACAAGGTAAAAGCGGCTTTATTACGGCGCAACAACCGCGACCGTCGGCCACGAAGCTCGGCTCTGTCCCCCAGAGATCACGGGAGAAGCGATCCGCACGTCCTCCTCGCGTTTCGAGTGTTTGCCGTTAGCCCGGAGCGGCGAGGCTAGCCGGGGTTAGCTCCCGTGCTAACCTCGCTCCCAGCTCTTTCCCGACTTCGAGACGCTCCTCATGGACACTTCACCCTCCAGCGTGCGCCACACAAGCCTATTCTGCTTAAAACTTTAGGATTTAACGCAACTAAAGCCTTAATATGTCAGAAAAAGTCCACATTTCGCGTTGTGACCGTTAGCCTGCGTGCTAGTTGACGTCAATAAGTTTCATTCACAGTTTTGTAACATGTCTGTTTTATCACATGCAGATCAGGGCGTAGTAATAACACAACAAGCGGACAAATTAAGCTAGATTTCAATATTTGCTTACATATTTAGTATAACCAGCCCTTTTGTCTTTAAAGATTAAGCTTTTATACAGTTACACGTGATCAACTTTAAGCCAAAACACCAGATTACCAAAATATAACGTCCCCTTAATTCATAACTGGAAAAATTGTAATTAATCGGTACTTATAAGTAAAATAGCATCTAAATGAAGACATAAACATGGAACAATTTGTACAAAAGTGTTGCTAAAATTTGGAATTTCTGTTTCTGTTTCAACTTTTTTCATTTTCTGTTTTAACTTTGTCTAAAAATGAACACATATGGATACAGATTGTTCCCAATACAGTACTACAAGTATTTATCTGGTCAATGTGAAGACAATACACATGGCAGCCATTCAAAGAACGACAAGTTTTAATCAGAACTAATCCGTGTTTTTTACAATTTAGATTTCAATTTTTGGCTTATTTTGAGGTTGTTGTTGTTGTTAGAAATCAGTGCTTTTTTTTGGTGAGAGTTTATGAACTGTTTGGAGTTCTATTATTCGATACGTGATCATGGGCGAGTTATCTGAGCTGCAGGATGGGTTTGTGGCCCGGCTGTTGGTGTCACTCTGGTCCAGTTGGCATGTCAGACTGATACTGTAGACTTCTGGGTTATTTCTGGAGCCGCTGTTGCCCCAAAGTGGGGTTGCCAGAGCTCACGAGCGAGTAGACAGGACTCGACAGGAGAAGTGACAAATCGATGGGTTTGGTTCTACTCTAGTCCTGATTTAGCTCAAGATTAATCCTTTTATAGTCCCAGTTAAGTCTAGTTCTTTTACGGTCCCAGTTTAGTCCTGGTTAAGGCTAGTCCAGGTTTAGTCCTTTTATAGTCCAATTTTTGTCCTGGTTTAGTTCTTTTATAGTCCCACTTTAGTCCTAGTTAAGGCTAGTCCAAGTTAAGTTATTTTATGGTCCCAGTTTAGTCCAGGTTTAGTTCTCTTATTGTCCCAGTTTAGTCCTGGTAAAGTCTACTCTGGGTTTTGTTATATTACAATCCCAGTTTAGTTCTAGTTTTGAATCCTAATTTAGTCACAGTTTAGATTTTAGATACATTAAGACTATAATTTGCTTTTTTTTTTTTAACTTCTAAGTAATAGTACTTCTTCTTTAACTAGTTGTGATATAGATCAAGACAGTTCTCAAACTGCTCAATTCTCAGTATCTGTACTAAAATTTCTTTAGACAATAGAAGTGATTTTCAACATTAAATCGCCGTACTTCCTTTTCTATTCCCATGTGGTCTCATAAAAAAGGAGACAGTGTTTTTCTGTAGTGTTTTATTGCATTAAATTGTCTTTAACTATGCTGTATGTAATAAAATAAGTCAAGTCAATACAAATACTTGGAAAAAGAAATAATTCTACTAAGCATAGACAGACAGACATAAATTCTCACAAAATGGCAGCTGGAAATAGAAGTCTCCTGTATTTGTTTACGAGCCTGAAGATGCTTTAAATTGTGTACTTACTTGGCAACCCCGGCCTCTCATTTGCTCCACTACTACAGCCCTCCCCTTTCATTTCTCAGAATAGATGGTATTTCTCAGTCACTGTCACCCTCTCTCCATGCGCTTTATTTAACATTGTTTATTAGGACTTGGATGACACTTTACTATCACTATTGGGACATATACATGATAATGCACTGAATATGTGGACTGTTTAATAACTGTCCAAATTATGAATGAATCAGAAGTCACGTGTGATTGGCTGTCAGTCCCTGTTATAAATGAATAGTTAAACTATTGTATTATAAAGTTTTATAGTGTTCATGCATTGTCTGGAAAAGGGGGCGGATTACATAAGATGGCTCTTCCTTCTGCTCCTTTTCATTCATTTGTTGTTTATTTACACACCGTACAAGCTTTTTAGTCTTTTTATACTTTATGAATAAATAAACAAACAAACAAACAAACAAAAAAACATAATATAAAATAGTGTAAAAAACATAACTTAAACTAATATAACATAAAATAATATAAGATAAAATAACATAGCATAATGCTGCTCAATTAAGGAAAAAATCATTATCACAATTATTTTGGTCAGTATTGAAATCACGATTATGCAGACAATTTTTTTTAGTTACGTGATGCATTTATTCAGCATATCTCTCTTAAAAAAAACACTGAAAGCTTTGCGTAAATTATTAATAACAAATTGAAAATAAATATAGGCTACAAATCTGTACCTTAGAGCAGTTTTGCGATGTATAAAACATAAAATAATAAAATAACATGTACTTTGAACATGAAATAAGGGATATAAAAACATAAATGTATCCAAAATCAACTATATATCCAGCTGCAATCTCTATGTTTAAAAAAATAAAAGAAATATATTAATTTATATATTTTTTTAAATCTCAATATTAATCATTTCAATTCGATTGTATGAGTTTAGAGATCGTTTGACACACAGATTGAAATTGTGATCAAAATTTGATTAATTGCACAGCCTTAACATAACATGACATCAAGTGACATAAAGTAAAGCCGGAAACCAGTTGTTGTGTCCTTGGGCAAACCCCCCCGACAGCTGTGGTTGCAGCCGTGTCTTACCACCACCGAGGGTATTGAATTGTAAAAGCGTTTGAATCTTAAAAATCCAAGCATTATTGTTATTATGAAGTCATTTGTTTTTTTTCATAAGTCTGAGTCAGATAGAGATCTGTGTTTGCCTCTACACTTGAGAGAGTTTGATCAGAGGATTGACATTTCCATCAGCAAATCTTCTTGGTTTCCCTTTAAGTTTCAATGGATTTTGGTGGATTCAATCAAATTAATTCCACTATATTTCTACAATACAATGATGATATAATTTGATCATTTCATAAAGGAAATGCATATTACTGATTAGTCCAGTCAGCTCCTTATAGCACCTGTCAGAGAAATATTTCTGAGTCTGTGACAGGAGCATATCTGTGGTACTTTCCCAGTACTTTGTTGTTGTCTGTTGTTTTATGGTGTGTTGGTTGCCGGGTTGGTTGTGAATCTATGAGGCCGGTTATCTGCACTAGGAGGAGTTTGTGTTTTGTTTCATTCACACTTGTTTAACACACAAACCCTGCACATTTAAGCTGAGTTCTTCTCCCACACTGAAAACTGTTGCACTTTGTGATGTCATGTGGTAATACAGGAAGTGCTTTGTTGTGTTTTTAAACTTTAGACACTTCTCTAGAATCATTTGGACGATTTCAGCCCTGGAATTGCCAGTCTCTACTAAACTAAAGCTTAAAGGAGCAGTAAACTTGAAAATTACCACTACATGACATCACGAGGTGGAACAGAGCATTTTGAGCTTGGGAGATATAGATAGACTAATAATAAAAAGTTACTCAAATGTGTCAATGAAGCCAAACACAACTCCAGCTCTGTTTTTGATGATGATGTTCTAACACAACTTAAAAGCTCAAGAGTTAATTTTGTGTATTATTATTATTATTAACAAAAAGGTGATCACACAAACAGTAATTTAACTGTGTGTGTAATAAAATACTGTAGTTAATGTCAGAATATAGAGCTGAAAGGTGAAGTCAGAATTTGAATCGACACAAAAACAAATGGTGAATGTACCAGAATCTCCTCCACAAACAAAAGTCCCTGTCTTATTTTGTAAATGTTCTTAAATGTGATTCTTATATTAGTTTCTCAGTTTGTATTGTCATGTATTGTAACTAAAACATTTTATTGTGTTTCTGGTACTAAATTAAACATGTGACCTATAGTTGTTTCGGCCACAGCCCGTTTACAAGGAAATATTTAAAGCCTGAGCAGCTGTGACCCTTGTGCTGAGTCAGAGATCTAGACCTCCTGAGTGAAGACTGTCTCTTTATAGTTCACTGTGTTTGTACTTTAAATTGATCCAAATTTAAGTAAAAAACAAAACAAAAAAACAACCCACAACAAAAAAACGGTGTTACAAAAATCATTGAGTTATTGATAAGTCATACTCAAGTGGACTCTTAAAAGCTTAAAAGTCATGTTATAATGTTTTTACCTCAAAAACATGTTTGAGTGAACCTTTATTATTAGTCTGTCTACATCTCCAAAGCTCAAAATGCTCTGTTCCACCTTGTGATGTCATGAAGATGTCATTTTCAAGTTAACAGCTACATTTTAGTTCAGTAGAGATTTTCAATTCTAGCGCTGAAGTTATCCAAATGATTCTAGTAAAGGTGTATGGAGTTTAAAAACACAGATGTGCACTTCCTGTATTACCACATGACATCACAAAGTGGAACAGCGTGTTTTAATGGGCAGGGTTTGAGTGTTAAATATGTGTGAATGAAACAAAACACAACTCCAGGTTTGTTTGCGATGAGGAAACGACATTACAACATAGATCAGAAAATGGCGTAAACATGGGCCCTTTAAATAACAAATACTGTCACAGGATTGGCTGGAAGACCTGTCAGTTAAAAAGTCCCACGTTGATCACTGACCATCTGATAAAAAAAACATGATTTGATTAACATTACACTAACTGAATTGCCCCAGTTCCACACTTAGTCCAAGTTCAGTTCCAGTTTTGCTGTGATCTAAGCGTAAATGCAAACACACCCTCTGTCTTCTTTTAATCTCTAATAATATCCCTAATCCTTGTGTTTTTGTGTCTCTTTCAGGGCTTTGTTAAAGATATCCACGATGACTCTCTCACCATTGCCTTTGAGAACAAGTGAGTTTATTTTGGCTTTATTCTGTGATTCTGAGCCCGTCTTGATAACACAAGTATGAGCTACGAAAAAAAAGAAAATTCACTATAAACGATTAGATATTGAAACTCCTTCATGCCACTGACATAATAGAAATAAAGCAGGATAATCCCAGTAAACCTTTTTTATATAGACGGAATCATTTAAAGGTTTGAGCTGCAACGAGGCTGAACCAAGCAATAATTATCTATAGAAGTAATTTATTCAACCATACACAGCTCAGATCATGTTATATTAGAAAAAAAACTGCGCTGGAAGAGCTATTTAATTTAACTTCTTAGGTAAAAGTACAGATACCAGAGCAAAAAATACCCAAAAGTAAAAAAAATATAACATGAAAAAGTCTACTTAAAGGTGCACTATGTAATGTGTGAAGAAACCCTCAGTCGTCCAGGTAGAATCCATGATGAGGAGAAAAATCTGTTTGTCAATTGGACAAAAGTTAGTTTAGCTGAATATGTTTTGTAGCTCATCCAAACTGCTTCTTCAGTTCTGAACTTCAGAAGCAGCTTGGATGAGCTACAAAACATCTTCAGCTAAACTTACTTTTGTCCAGTCGACAAACTGATTTTTCTCCTCACCATGCACTGTGTAACTTTTCTGGTAAGAGTCCAGCAGCTGGTTGTGTCTGTAGTGATATGCTCAGGTGAGGAATTTCCCTGGAACGTACCACAGTATAGCATTAAACTTACTTATTCTTTTAATTTTAGATGTTTTTCAAAATAAAACAAAACCTTCAAAAATATGCATTCTACTCTAAGTGGGACTGCCTCTCCACAGATCGGACCTGTAAGTTGGTATGATGCTTGTCTCCATGGAAACAGATAAGTTTAATATCATACTGTGAAAAATTCCAGGCAAAGAACCTCCATGGTGACTGAAAGAAAGTTACACAGTGTATTTTTAAGTAAAAGTATTGAAGTACCTGTTTAAAAATGTACTGAAGAGTATAGAGTGTAGTAGTAATTTTAATAAAGATTTGTGCTGAGTTTTGTTGAACAGGAACAATTTGTTAATTTGTTGTTATATTTTTGTTTGCTTAAACTACAAATGTGTTAAAAATAAACCCATCACTCTTTACATCAGGTTTCAAACGATAATAAAAAAAATACTTTTACTTTTCAGTCCTGTTCAAAAATGTAGTAGAGTAGAAAGTACAGATACCTGCACTCAAAGGTAGTCAGGTAAAAGTAAAAAGTATTTTCTTTAAATGTTTCACAATATGGTATTAAACCTTTCTATCTTCATGGAGACCAAACCAGACCAAGTTACAGGTCAGGGGCCTCATTTATAAAGCTTGCTTACGCAAAAATCCGTGCGTGCGCGCTTCCTACGCCAGCCGCGGTATTTATAAAACTCGACTAAGGCGTGGCTCTTTGCTTAACTCTACGCCAACTCGGGACCTCCTGTAAGTTCTACGCAAAGTCTGGAGACACGGGGAAAAAGCGACACTCGTGGAGAGAAGCAGAAGTGAACAGAGTTTGAGGAAGTGTTTGATCAGAAAATCCACGTATATAGAAGAATGACCTTCAGATTTGCGCATTTAAATGTTTGGTTCACCAAAACACGGAGAAGGGCTGTTTATTCCACTCATTATTCTCCACAATATTATACATTTGACACTCGTGCACGAGCGCGGCCACGTTCCTGGACACGGTGTAGCGCAGAGTCTCCCACAGTCCACACCGAGACCATAGACTTCTACAAAACACAGTCTGTGACCAACACAGAGGACGAAATAATGACCCAACCTGAGAGAAAAACTCTTCCCTTGGACGCAGCAGGAGCCAGACTTTGATTTAATGAACGCAACTTTAACACTTTCACTTTAGTCTTTACGCACCGAGTGCCAGAGTGACCTGAGTCTGCGGACAACACGAAGCCTACTGCCCGAACCTGACCCCAACCAAACTCTTGCACATGAGAGCTGCTCTCTGACTGTATGAAGAACAGAATAATGCCCGTGCCCGTCCCGACCCAGACCCACACTCACAGACCCAGACCCACACTCACAGACCCAGACCCACACTCACAGACCCAGACCCACACTCACAGACCCAGACCCACACTCACAGACCCAGACCCACACTCACAGACCCAGACCCACACTCACAGACCCAGACCCACACACACTCACAGACCCACACTCACAGGTTCAGCAGTTTGGATGTTTCGTGTGGACTTTAATTGGCAGAATAACATCTGTATCTGATGTGTTTCGTGCTAAATCTGTGTCCTCGTATCCTCGTGTCCCTCCCTCGCTCCTTTCCCTCTCCAGGGGAGGTGCGCTCATAACCATTTGACCATTCAGATCAGCGCGTGCACGTATCTACGTGTATATACATAAATATACAAGGCCAGTCCACACACACATCATAGATAGACTTAAAAATATAGCGATAAAACTCTTGAAACAGCGGAAAAACACATGGACTTTACTGCAAAGATGTGCTGCCTAAATATTATAAAAAATGATTAAATGAACAGATGAGTCATTGTTGTCACTTTTAGTTTTGTATTTATTTATTAAACCTTGTTTAATAAAGTCTTTAATAAAGTCTTTGTCGTGATCACGTGGTGCTGCGTGGAGTGTCCTCCTCCCTACTGTCCCGCGTGTCTCGATCAAACCCACTGATTATCGGCTCATGTTTAGGGAAATCTCAGTCACTTTACATGCTCCTTTTATGGTGAGGTGGAGGTGTGAGAGGGCGTGACGTGACGTAGGTTTACGTGCTCTGATTCTAGTTGCAGGTGGGATTTATAAAGCAAAGATTGCGTGGTTTGGTGCGTGCGGTGGGTTTTCTAAATATGGAGTTTGCGTGGCGCACGCCTGTCGTAGCTACTAGGCGTACGCACTAACTTACGACAACTCCTGTGCAGTTTTTTATAAATGAGGCCCCAGATCTGTGGAGAGACAACTCTGCTCACAGTCAGAATGTCTGTTTTTCTAGGTATTTTTGAGCTATAAAACCACCTAAGTGAATAAATGTAAGTGAATAAATGTAAGGAAGAGCTGTTTAATGCCACACTGTAGAACATTCAGACAGAGCAATAACATATCTACAGATGTCAGAGGTCGTCAGATCACACATAAGAATCTGCAGTGCTTCTAACAATGTAGACTAAGGACTATATACTCAGATTTAAAGGTCCTATTATGCAAAATTGACTCCTGTGACCTTTTAGCCACCTTAGAATGCCGTTACCTCATCTAAAACATTCCTGAAGTTGTGGTTTGTTTCATACACACATGAGTAATCCTTTTTTATGAGTCTGTCTATACTCCAAATTTCACAATGCTCCACCAAACCACCAAAATCTATTGCTCCATCATATTCATCATATATTCAACCAGTCTAGTCATTTTTATTGGAGGTCTACTGATTTCAGATGATTTCAGTGTATGTTCATTGAATTTAAAGGTGCACTGTGTAACTTTTTAGTTGGGGGTCTTTCACCTGCTTGTTTCTATGGAGATGTCATTGCTCTGCCTGGAATATTCCACAGTATTACAGACCTTAAACAGCTCTACCTTACATTTATTCAATTACAGGTGGTTTTATAGCACAAAAATACCTAGAAAAACAAACATTCTGACTGTGAGTGGGGTCGTCTCTCCACAGATCTGGCCTGTAACTTGATCTGGTTTGGTCTCCATGAAGACAGAAATGTTTAATATCATACTGTGAAACATTCCAGACAAAGCAAAAACATCTCCACACTTAATACACAAAAAACTAAGTACACAAACATTAAGCGTCAGTCAAGTCCAGTCCTGTCAAAATGTTCAAAAACGTGTCATAACATTTCCTTTGTGTGTGACGCTGTAGCTGGCAGCCAGAACGCCAGGTGCCCTTTGGTGACGTCAGGTTGCCCCCGCCGGCCGACGCCAAGAAGGAGATTGGAGAAGGGGATGAGGTGGAGGTGGGTGGAGGTGGAGATTCTTCTGTTTTAGCTTCTGTTTCCGTGTTTCAATACTCACTGTCCTTCTGCTCCGTCAGATCTTCTCCAGAGCCAACGACCAGGAGCCCTGTGGGTGGTGGCTGGCCAAAGTGCGCATGATGAAAGGAGATGTAAGTACTCATGTTAAAGACGCACTGTGTAACTTTTCTGCTGGTATTTGCTCCTGTTCATGCCCAGTATCTTCAAGATAATGATATTAAACCTATTTTAAACTATATCAAGCATTTATTCAGTTACAGATGTTTTAGTTTTCTAAAATAGAGATAGAAAGTTAAAGCCATTATCTGCTGCTTGTTATGGTCTAAATCAGGGGTCTCCAACCTGTAGCCCGGGAGTTACCAGTAGCTCTCCACCCGCTTCCAAGCAGCTCACCCAGAGATTCTGAATTATACGTATTGGGCTCAAATTTGATTCATTAAACGCCTATTTCCTTTGTAAATGTTTCATTTTGGCTGTGTTCAGACTGCAGCCTGAAGTGACCCAAATCCGATTTTTTTGGCCCCTGTGTGACCTGTATCTGGTCTTTTAATGACAGTCTGAATGACACAGATACGATTTTTTCAAATGAGACCCAGGACACTTGGATATGTGCTCCTGAAACCGAAACATATCTGATCTTTTGACATGCGACTTCAGTCTGAACGGCCAAAGCGCATCCACCTACACGTTATCAACAAGCCACAAACGTCACTATTCTGCGCTGAAGTAGGCGAAAATTGTTAATGAACTCCGTGTCACTGAAGCGAAGCACATCGTCACTCACCACTCTTGGCTCCGTCTCCACATCCACACGTTCCTTTCAACGGACGTCGCTGCCGCTGTCCCACAAAACACCACGACCTAAAACCTCGTCCTTCTCCTTCTCAATCTCCTTAAAACAAGTCAGTTGTTCATGTTCTGGCTCCGGTACAAGAGGAACTTTAAAATCTCCAGGTGCTCGATGCTGCGTCCATGTTTGGACAACTTCTGTAAACACAGAGACGCTCACTGCGGTTGACGTCGTCGTGTCTCCAGTGCACATGTGGGACACTTTCGGGCCGTTTAATGTTCACACTGGAGATCACATACAAGTCACATTTAATTGGAAATGTGAATGACCTCGCAAAAACATTGGATTTCACAAAAAAATCTGAATTGAGCGTTAAGCCCTGCAGTCTAAACGTGACCTTTGATACCTAATTTTGTGCCCTGATAACTGCATGATGGATTATGTTTTATCGATGTCTAACTGTACCTCATCTTTGATGCACCATGGCTCTTATATTTACACCATTTCTGGCACCTTCTAAAACTAGTAGCATTTCTCTGGCATTTTCATTTTACCAAAAGTAGCTCACAGGAGGAAAAAGGTTGGAGACCCCTGATCTAAAGCTACAGTGAAGAGGCTTTTTTTAAATTAATTTTAACATTTTACAGAACTAAACAAAAACACACAAAAAAACCCAACAAAAAATATATATTTATAAAACAAAAACTGTCACATAGCCCACCCCTCTCTCCACACATAACACACCACAAATTTAGCCTTTTTAACAGGAAGTCAATTAGTTTTACTAGGCTGGTTTAGATACATTTTTTATTGTACAAAATGTAAAATAATAGCCCATGTATGCATTTCCTCTTTAAAAACTACAAAAATTATGTTTAGTTGCAGTCCTTCTAGTTTAGAGAGCTGCAGTTGACCACTTTTTGAGTCACAAAAGACTTAAAGGTGCATTGTGTAACCTTTCTTGTGGAGGGTCTGTCAGATATTTTTCTTCATGGAGATGTTATTGCTTTGTCTGGAATGTTTCACACTATGGCATTAAACATTTATATTTTCATGGAGACCAAACCAGACCAAGTTACAGGTCAGATCTGTGGAAAGGAGTCCCCGCTCACAGTCACAATGTGTTTCTCTAGGTATTTTTGAGCTCTAAAACCCCTTGTGATTGAATAAATGTTAGAGCCGTTTTAATGTCACACTGTGGAACATTCCAGGCAGAGCAGTGACATATCCCTAGAAACACACAGGTAACAAACCCCAAACCAAAATGTTACACAGTGCACCTTTAAGAATAAGGAATGTAACACAGCTTAGCCTTGTGGTAGTTTAATCTGAAATAATATAAACAAATATTTCTGCTCGTTAATTCTCCGTCTTGTCTCTTCAGTTCTATGTGATCGAGTACGCCGCCTGTGATGCCACGTATAACGAGATCGTGACCTTCGAGCGTCTGCGTCCGGTGAACACAAACCCGGCCATCACCAAGAACTCCTTCACCAAATGCACCGTCCCTGTGCCACAGGACCTGGCACACGCGTAAGGATCTGCAAATAATAAAGGACTAGGGTTTTTATGTTTTTATGCTCAAATTTAAAGTCCTATATTACGCAAAATTGTCTCTTGTGAGCTTTACGACATGTTATAATGTTGTTACCTCCTCAAAAACAGACCTGGAGTTCTGTTTTGTTTCATTTACACATCTTTATTATCATTTTGTCTTTACTCCCAAGCCCAAAATGGTCTGTTCCACCTTGTGATGTGATGTAGCGGTAGTTTTCAAGTGAACAGCTCCTTTTACTTTTAGTTCAGTACAGATTGGCATTTCCAGGTCTGAAATGAGCCACATGACTCTAATGAGGGTGTATGGAGTTTAAAAACACAGTGCAACAGAGTGTTTTCAGTTTGAGAGAAGAACACAGCCTAAATATGCAACATGTGTGAATGAAAGAAAACTAAATTCCAGGCATGTTTTTTATTAGGAAACAACATTATAACATAGATCTGAAAAAAAGCTGCAGTGTGGGCCCTTTAATCTAATACTAGTGTTGAGAACAGATACACATTTTTAGGTGTCAGTACTCAAGCAACTCTTACTACTCTGAGAATGGTCCTGATCCATCTTAAAATACATCGTGTCCCAAAAATTTGATATCATTTCGCAGGTCAATAATTTTGGCAATTCTTGTTAAAATAACCTCAAATGTTCACAGAACGTAAAGAAACAGATCAGAATTTTATATTTACTGTTTTATTTTTGTTTTGTTTTCAGGTTGAGCCGTTCACTCCCAAAGAGAAGTCATTTTGTGTCTTGGAATCTGCTCGCACACACTCACGCAAGACTGTGCAGCCTTCATTGTAAAATCTGGAAAAACTTCACCAATTGGCAAACAAATCTGGACTTGGTACCAAAAATTTAAAGAGGAAGGCTGATTATGCCGGGCTAAAGGGTTACATATGTGTGCGAGCAGATTCCAAGATGCAAAATGACTTCTCTTTGGGAGTGAACGGCTCAACCTGAAAACATTAAATATAAAATCTTGATCTGTTTCTTTACATTCATACATGTGAAAATTTGAGGTTATTTCAACAAGAACTGCCAAAATTATTGGCCTGTGAAATTATGTCAAATTTTTGGGGACACTGTGTACATTAAAAGACAGTGGGTAAGTGTTTTTAATTCTCATTGGGGTCTCAAAATCAGTTCCTTGATTTTGTATTCATTTGTTCTCTGAAAAATTAAAGGAGGTTTTCAGAGTTTATTTCCTGAACATTATTACAATACAGACTTTTAAACATTATTTACAAAAAATTATCTGATTTCTTCCACCAAAGTCTGAACTCTGCTCCAAACCAGACCTCTCCATTAAAAATATTCAAGCCAGTAACTGACATTTTGAAATCATTGAACTGAATTAAAATGTGTTTAAATGCTCAGCCTAGGTATCCTCTTTCAAGCCCTTTTTGTTAATATCGAAATCAAGTTTTAAGTTTCAGTCTCGTGACAGCTCCACTAAGCTCCTCTTGTCTGTTTCTGTCCTTCAGGTGTCAGAATGAGAACGCCCATAAGGATTTCAAAAAAGCTGTGGGAGCCTGTCACATCTCCTTCTGCCCTGAGTCCAGCCAGCTGCTCATCGTGGTGCGTGTTTAACTCTTAATTTAACTCTTTACTTCAAATTGAAAAAGTGTATTATGTAACTTTTCAGGTAGGTGGTCTGACACTTGCTCGTCTCTTTGTAGATGTTATTGATTTGTTTAGAATGTTTCACGGTATGGCATTAAACTCTAGAGCTTCATGAAGACAAGCAGGTGATGCCCCATGGCTTGTAGCAGATCTGTGGAGAGGTGATACCCCCATAATGAGATAAATGCTCTGTAGATAAGTTTAATGCCATACTGCTGAACATTCAAGTCAAAGCAACAACATCTCCATAGAGACAAGATATTGGCAGAGGTTCCCACAGTCATGGAAATCCTGGAAAAGTCAGGAAAATTGAAAATGTCATATTCCATGCCTGGAAAAGTCATGGAATTTTAGTATCTCTTACACAAGTACAGTGTTCTGTTAAGCTCTCATGAGACTATTCTAATTATTTCTGAACGTGTGCGCCTTTTGTTTAAAAGAGACGACAATAAATGCACTGACAGGATTTTGAATGTTCAAAAACTATAATCCCACACCATAAGGTGAGTGGAAAGAGTACACATTTCATATTTAGCCTGAAAGTTTGATCAATTCTGCACATGTAGGTGCCATAAAGTCATGGAAAATTCACTTTAGATCATGAAAAAGTCATGGCAGCGTTTTTGAAATTTTGTCAGTGAAAGAGTGGGAAAACTGTTGGCAGATCCTCCCATCAAAAAGTTACATGATGCACCTTTATGTTTACTGAAAATATGGTCTGATGGTCTGGTATTTGAAACAAAACAAAAAAAGTAACTAATGCTTTTTTTATTTTCCATTTTCCAGTCAACAAACGAGGCCACAGCGAAGCGTGTGTCTCTGCTCAGTGACATGCATCTGAGAAGCATCAGGACAAAACTGATGCTCATGTCTCGCAACCAGGAGGCCACCAAACACCTGGAGGTCAGTGTGAAACACAGGCTTTGTGTACATATACTGTATAAGTGCAGATGTGGTAGAGGAGCCAAGAACTGTATGCAAGTGAGCGTAACATTACATTAAAATTAGCCTTAGTAGAAATAGTAGAATGTTGTGGTGCAAGGAATGACTCAAGTAAGGGTAAATATTTGTGGAGTGAAAAAAGAGGCACTCTGATTTGCGGTGAATTTATTAATAGTCACGATAACGTGTTTCGACTACTTAGTCTTCATCAGGGCTCTATGGGTAAATATTTATTTGGGGGATACGATCACTTGAGTAACTGTGTCGTAACGGTTGCGAAACTTTGTTGTAACGATTGATGAATGTGATTGGAAGTATACATTTAAAGGCTCATTGTGTTACTTTTCTGGTGGAGGGTCTGTCAAAAGCTTTTCTCTCTGGAGATGTTGTTGCATAGTTTGGAATGTTTTACAGTATGGCATTACACCTTTCTATCTTCATGGAGACCAAACCAGAACAAGTTACATGTCAGATCTGTGGAGAGGAGACTCCACTCATAATGAGAATTTCTGTTTTGATATGTATTTTTGAGCTATGAAACCATCTGTAATTGAAAAAATGTAAGGTAGAGCAGCTTCATGTCACACTGTGGAACATTCCAGACAGAGTAATGACAGATCCACAGAAACAAGCAGGTGACGGACCCCCAACCTAAAAGTTATATAGTGCACCTTTAAGCAGGAACAGTATGGTGCTTGAAATTAGTGAGTAAATGTACCCACCTGTGCAGCTGTCTAACTTTAACTGCTGTATTGTAATATGTGTGTTGTGTGTTGTGCAGAGCTCCAGGCAGCTGGTGTCTTCGTTCCAGGAGGAGTTCACTGTGAGACCGGACCTGATGGGACTGGCCATCGGGAGCCACGGCAACAACATCCAGCAGGCTCGAAAAGTCCCAGGGGTCACTGCCATCGAACTGGACGAGGAGACGGGCACGTTCAGGATCTATGGAGAGGTGTGTATGAGTGGATGTGTATATGGAACACTCTGGTTTGTTCTGAGCTATTATTCCACACATCTCCTGTTGTTTTAGAGGACCCATATTACTCTTCTTTCTGATCTGTGTTTTAATGTTGTTTCCTCATCAAAAACAGACCTGGAGTTGTGTTTTGTTTCATTCACACATGTTTAACACACAAACCCTGCAGATTTAGGCTGAGTTCTTCTCTCAGAAACACTCTCTCAAACAGAAAACACTGTTCTACCCTGTGATGTCATGCAGTAATACAGGAAATGTTCTACTGTGTTTTTAAACCCCATACACCTTCACTGGAATCATTTGGATAAATTTCAGCTTGGAATTGTCAGTCTCTACTAAATTAAAGGGACAGTTCAGAATTTTGGACATAGGACCTCATTTCCTAGTGAGTCAGAGTGTTGGAGACATGTGGAGACACATTTTGAAATATTCCATCCAGTCCTTGTATTTGCAGAGGTCACTGGTGTTAGTCTAGTGCATGTCAATGGTCATAGTTCTCCTGCCACTAAGTCTTACTCACTCCACAAAACACCCGAAACAAATCTATTATTACACCAGACTGTCCATGTGAATGTCTGTGTCAATAGAATAATGTTTGAAATAAAACTAATCATCGCATGTTGAGGGACTATTTTCTCATATATCAGTCTACCTCTGCCCAACTTTCTATCAGGAAGTACAACTTGTTGCTGTTGCTCAGACATAAATCCTTCAAATGTAAGGTTGGTTTCAGACTACGTTTATATGATGACGTGTCTTCACTTTTTATTTTGCACTTAGACAAGTGTTTTCAGAAGGATCCTGCAGATCCTTCTCTGTACACTAAACGTCTAAACGAAAAGACACTTCCAATAAAATATTTTGTCGTTTTTACCCACAGGCGTTCTTGTGTAAACAGACCCTTACTTCTAAAGTTATTCTATCAACACAAACATTCACATGGACAGTCTGGTGTAATAATAGATTTGTTTCAGGTGTTTTGTGGAGTGAGTAAGACTTAGTGGCAGGAGAACTATGACCATTGACATGCACTAGACTAACACCAGTGACCTCTGCAAATACAAGGACTGGATGGAATATTTCAAAAAGTGTCTCCACACGTCTCCAACACTCTGACTCACTAGGAAATGAGGCCCTATGTCCAAAATTCTGAACTGTTCCTTTAACTTGCTTCATGACATCACAAGGTGGAACAGAGCATTTTGAGTTTTAGAGATATAGACAGACTAATAATACATGGTTACTCAAAATTTGTGAACAAAACAAAACACAACTCCAGATACTTTTGTAATGTTTTTGAGGAGTTAAAACATTTTAACACGTCTTAAAGCTCACAAGAGTCAATTTTCTATAATATAGGACCTTTAAACATTTATGAATTTATGATCTTCTTTTCTATTGTAACACTAGGCACTTGTGACTTTAAAACGTGGACTTTGCACTGGTAAAAGTCATTTATATTTCAGGTACTTGGTTAGTGAAAGCTGTTTTCTTTCAGACTGCAGATGCGGTGAAGAAAGCCAGAGGATTCTTAGAGTTTGTGGAGGACTCCGTGCAAGTACCAAGGAACCTCGTAGGTAAGAAAAACACAAAGAGACTTAAGAGCTTCAGAAGATACACAGGCACAAAACACACTATAGCAACACAACTAACAACAGCCTTGACTAGAGTTTACTGACACAAAAGTATTCAAAAGTGAAGAGAATGGGACAGGATTCTGCAAAACAGCAGTGTGTACCTGTGCTCTGCGCAGTTAATTAAATTTTAGGTATAATCTATAGTTCAAGGTGCATTGTGTAACTTTTCTGGGGCAGGATCCATCAGATGCTTTTCTCCATGGAGATGCTATTGCTTTGTCTGAAAATGTTTCACAGTACAATGTTAAACCTTTCTATCATGGAGACCAAACCAGATCAAGGTACAGGTCAGATCTGTGAAGTGCCTGTTTTTCTATGTATTTTAAAGCTATAAAACCATCTGTAATTGAATAAATGTAGGATAGACTGTTTAATGTCATACTGTGGAACATCTGAAGCATAGCAATGACATCTCCACAGAAACAAACAGGCAACGGACCCCCAACCAAAAAGTTACATAGCGCACCTTTAAAAGTGAGTGGAAGGATTCTGTAAAAGAAGAGTGTGTACCATAGAACTGTGCAGTTAATTAAATTTTAGCTGTAATCCAAATTGGAATAATAAATGATCATCTTGGGACTTTTTAATGATGAAGTCTTTAGCCAATCCTGTCTCAGAAAAAGCACGCGGTTTGGAGCAGAGTTCAGACATTGGAGGAAAAAATGACATGTTAAAGACTTTCATGTGCTAAACTAAAGCTTGTCTTGCGTATGTTAATATTAGAGCCGTGCCCAAAATTGTAAGAACAATAGATTGTGATTTCTACTCTGGTGGATCTCAGTTGTTGAGGAACAAGCAACCTGGGCCACAGTGCCACAGTGTCTCCTCACCTCTTCACAAGTTTTTACTTAAATTTACACCATTTGACTAAAACTCCAGTGTCTCTCTCCCTCTGTCTCTGTGTGTGTGCGTCGAGTGGTACACAACTCCAGGGTCATGTACCATTTGTTCTTTTGAATTTCAATTAAGAACAAAAAACAATCAAATGGGAAAACAGTTTATTTCATGATTCCGTTTTAATGTCAAACAAAACACAGATTTCAACCTCTTTTTCCAAAGTTTAATTTAAAGTTTATTTCGAATACCACTAATCAAAAAAACAGTCATCGTGCCTATTTCAGTTCTGATATTTTATTCTCTGGTTTATTTGCCCCTGAAGTTCTGCTGCTAGAAGCACTTACCTGAAAAATTGCAATTTTGTGTCTCTCTCTCTGATCCAGCCACAGCTCCTCACTTATTCTCCTTTTTCTCTCCTTTTGTGCTTCTCATCTTTATAAACCAAATTACAGAAAGTAAACGACTATTTTCTCACCGTGTATGAGTGAAAAATGAAGACCTCATTTAGCGCACGGACATCGCACGTGTTTCTCTTGAAACCTAAAAGCATTCCTGTTACCGTATTGTACAAACTCATTCCAAACTTTTAAAATTTCTCTGAAATTATTGGTCCTCATAAAATAAAAACTGTAGTGATTTTGACACCCTGCTTCATACGCTTGAAGTCCACGGGTCTCTTTTTAATAAGATGGAATGAATTGAATTGAAAGTGATTCTTTTTTTCTTTTTTTTTTCCCCATTTTGTCCATCCTAGTTGAAATTTATTGAATATATACTGAAAGTTATTTTATTTGTTTTAAATAAAAAAATTAATAAAAAAACAATATGAGGAATTGATTTACCATTTATTATTTATTTATTACTCATGGGATAGACAGAAACACAATTTCAATTATTTTTATGAAGAACTGACAATAAACTTTTGAACTGAACTTGAACTCAGTTGTACTTAATTAATAGCCATGGTGTTCCAAATATAAAAAAAAAAAAAGTAATTAGGGGAAAACGCCAGCAGATCTAGGGCTGGGAGTCACAGGGTTCCTAAGTTTCATACAATACACAATACATAGCTCATGATACATTTACCAAACCCCTTTTATAAAACATATTCTTTGGTTGTTACTGATTTCACTTTATCTCTAACTGTGAACTGACTTTAGTATGCTGTGTTTCAGGAAAAGTCATTGGTAAAAATGGGAAGGTGATCCAGGAGATCGTGGATAAATCTGGAGTGGTGAGAGTCCGGATCGAAGGAGACAACGACAACAAGCAGCCCAGACAGGAAGTAAGTTTACAACACGACAAATGAAGAACAAACACGGGATGCACAAATGTGAACGGACAATAAAATGAACCAGTGCAGAAAAAAACACTGTAGCCATGAGTTTTAAAAATTAGGATTGTTGCCATAGTGATTGACAAAAATACAATCTTGAGAATGAGAAAAAGTAATTTAAATTTTGTATAAAAGATTAAGCTGAAAAACATGATTACCTGCAAGTTTCTGTCCTATTTTGATCATCAATATTTTTTCTGTTACATGTTCTTACAATATAGTATTAAATCACAAAATTGTATTATTTATTTATAACACTATTTTCTGATCTGTGTTCTAATGTAGTTTCCTCGTCACAAACAGACCTGGAGTCGTGTTTTGTTTCATTCACATGTTTAATACACAAACCTTGTATATTTAGGCTGAGTTCTTCTCTCAAACAGAAAACACTCTCTTCCACCTTGTGATGTCATGTGGTGATACAGGAAGTGCTCCACTGTGTTTTTAAACTTCTTACATCTTCACTAGAATCTTTTGGATCATTTCAGACCTGGAATTACCACTCTCTACTGAACTAAAGGTGAAAGGAGCTGTTCACTTGAAAACTACCACTTCATTACATCACAAGGTGGAATAGAGCATTTTGAGCTTTAGTTATGTAGACAGACTAATAAAAAGGGATTATTACTACAACATGTGTGAATGAAACAAAACACAACTCCAGGGTCTGTGTACCATTTGTTCTTTTGAATTTCAATTAAGAATTTCATTATTCCGTGTTAGTGTCCAACAAAAAAAATGATTTCGGCCTATTTTTCCAATATTTAATTTAAAGTTTATTTCAAATAACACCAATAAAAAACATTATGCCTATTTCAGTTTTGATATTTTATCCTCTCTGGTTTATTTGTCCTGGAAGTTCTGCTAGAAGGACTTACCTGAAAAATCGTTGCAATTTAGTGGACAAACTTGTTCCCTTCTGTTATAGCAACACGTATTTTCATGTCTTAGAAGTCATTGTTGAACTGCATGGCAAGAAACAGGAAGCAGTGATAAACTCTCCTTTGTTCAGTAGACACTGAATTTACACACAGCGCTGAACAGCAGAACTTCCGGGGCAAATAAACCAAAGAAAATAAAATATCCAAATTGAAATAGGCACTGTGATTGTTTTTTGATTGGTGTGATTTGAAATAAGCTTTAAATTAAATATTGGAAATATAGGTCAAAATCTGTATTTGTTCGATACTAAAACTGAATAATGAAATAAAGTGTTTTCCCATTTGATTGTTTTTTGTTAATTGAAATTCAAAAGAGCGAATGGTACATGACCCTCCACGTTTTTTGTTTTTTTTTGAGCAGGTAACAATATTATAACACGGCTCAAATTTCACTAGTCAGTTCTGTGTAATATAGGACCTTTGAACTGTAGAGAGTCAAGAATGTTGAATGTTTAACTTATTTTCTAAAATCATGCAGTCCTACTTTGTTTTTTTCTCTCTTTAGCCACTGTCTGTTCTGATCTTGCTTATGGTGTTTTTTTGTTGTTGTTGGCGACACAGGGAATGGTTCCGTTCATCTTCGTGGGCACAAAGGAGAGCATTGGGAACGTGCAGGTGTTACTGGAGTACCACATCTCCTACCTCAATGTAAGCGCTCCTGTATGTACTTTTACACAGGGTATGGGGCATGTGTGTGAGCCTGTGCCCGCCTGTGCAGTGGTACGGAAACGCATGGCATCCTCCATTTAGCCACTTACACATTTGTATGAAGTACTGTTAGAGTCACAATGGTAGTAGTAATTAGAGCCCGACCGATATGGATTTGTTGTGGCCGATATGAAACTGATATAATGGGAGTTGGAGCTGCCGATAGCCGATATAATCGCCGATATATTTAGTGATGTAAAAATTCACTGTAAATCTTGAATTGTTTAAAAAACTTAGGTTTGGCTCTAGTGGATTCTAAATTGGGTTTATTTAGGCAAAATTACATACAGTAGATTGGCCTAATGGCATTTTTGCATCTTTTTCTAGCTACTAGTGATGGGTATTCCAGTTTTTGTTTTTTTTTGGAGAACCAGCTCTTTTGGCTCGGCTCACTAAAGCAGCTGGCTCTTTCGGCTCCCAAGCGACTCTTGAGATTGTTTTGTTGCAAGCAGGACTGAAAAAGGACTAAACCAGGACTAAAACAGATTTAAACCTTGTGTAAAACAGGACTAAACCAGAACTGAACCAGGACTGAGTGTCGGGACTCGGTCTCTCTCCCTCTCTCAAGCCCAAGATTAGTCCTGCTTTATCCATTTTATACTGAACTGCAGCCAAATATGCACTTTTTTAATATCCTATGCACACGCATATTTCTGAAAGTTTCGTTTTCAGCCGCTGCTGCTGTCAAACTACAGGTCTACATGCAGCTTGAAGAGAAAAAGAGAAAACACGGCTCCCAATAAGAAACATGCTCCCGTCGTTCACTTCAAAGAGCCGGCTCTAAGAGCCGCTTCGATCGCGACCGACCCATAACTCTTAGCTAGTAAATAAACTACCGCTATTAGCCTTTAGCCGTAAAAACGTGTGCACCACAGTAATTAATTATATGCATAAATGTGGATCATTCACACGTCTATTCACAGCTCATTTACATATCAATGCTGGTCCAGTAACAAATGTACGGACAATATAGTCACTTTACAATAGGCCAATAGAAAACAGCCTGTTTATGTGCGGGAGCTACAGCAGCTAATCGCTAACAGATAACCTAAACTAGCTTCAAAGTCGATGTATTTCCAACACTCACCGCTCACACAGGCTCCTCCTCACATCACAAGTCTGCTCTAATAAATGTCCTTTTAATCCAGACTCAAACCGATTGTCCATAAAAAGAATATAATCTCAGTGTTGCGCACGACTGCGGGTGTAAACAATAGCACGTGAGTGAAGTGACATGACTCTGGGGGTGTGTTCAGGGACAGTACGGACACAGACAAATTACACCGCAAATAAATACTGATGCGGAGCCACCTATTAGGACATTTATCTGTCTATAAATTGGATTAAATGAACATAATGTAGAGAGTCTAAGCTTTATAACGAGGTATAACATGCCCACGTGAAATATCGGCCCATATCAGCAAGCATATCGGCCGATAGCCGATATGTCTCCAGGTGCCCATATTGGCCGATATTATCGGCCGGCCGATATATCTGTCGGGCTCTAGTAGTAATAGTAGTAGCAGCAGTAGTAGCAGTAGCAGCAGCAGTAGCAGCAGCAGTAGCAGCAGTAGTAGCAGCAGTAGTAGCAGCAGCAGTAGTAATAGTAGTAGCAGCAGTAGCAGCAGTAGCAGTAGTAGTAGTAGCAGTAGTAGTAGTAGCAGTAGTAGTAGTAGCAGTAGTAGCAGTTGTAGCAGCAGTAACAATAGTAGTAATAGCAGTAGTAGTAGCAGCAGCAGTAGTACTTGTAGTAGTAGTAGCAGTAGCAGCAGTGGCAGCAGCAGCAGCAGTAGTAGTAGCAGTAGTAGTAGCAGTAGTAGTAGTAGCAGCAGTAGTAGCAGTAGTAGTAGCAGTAGTAGTAGCAGTAGTAGCAGCAGTAGTAGCAGCAGCAGTAGCAGCAGCAGTAGTACTTGTAGTAATAGTAGCAGCAGTAGTAGCAGCAGCAGTAGTACTTGTAGTAGTAGTAGCAGTAGCAGCAGTGGCAGCAGCAGCAGCAGTAGTAGTAGCAGTAGTAGTAGCAGTAGTAGTAGCAGCAGTAGTAGCAGTAGTAGTAGCAGTAGTAGTAGCAGTAGCAGCAGCAGTAGTACTTGTAGTAGTAGTAGCAGTAGCAGCAGTGGCAGCAGCAGCAGCAGTAGTAGTAGCAGTAGTAGTAGCAGTAGTAGTAGCAGCAGTAGTAGCAGTAGTAGTAGCAGTAGTAGTAGCAGTAGTAGCAGCAGTAGTAGCAGCAGCAGTAGTACTTGTAGTAATAGTAGCAGCAGTAGTAGTAGCAGCAGCAGTAGCAGTACCAGCAGTAGTAGCAGTAGCAGTAGTACTTGTAGTAATAGTAGCAGTAGCAGTAGTAGTAACAGTTGTAGAAGTAACAGTAGTAGTAACTTATTATTTAAAGATGCACTGTGTAATGTTTCTAGCAGAGGGTGCTTGTCTCCATGGTGATATTAGCATTTGCCTTGATTATTTCACAGTATGGAGACAGGTTAATGGTCAGATCTATGGAGAAGCGAGCCTGCACATGGGAACAATTTTGAACGTGTTTAAGTTTTTTTTTGAGCTATTAAACACCTGTAACTGAACAAATGCAAGAGAGATACTGTATGTTTAATGCCCTTCTGAGGAACATTCCTAGTAAAAAAATAACAACTCCATGGAGACGAGAGCAAGTAGCGGAGGCGCAGTTTGAACAGTTTCTAGCGCTGTACTAAAGTGCATGAGAATGATCTTGTAGAACATGTGTGCTTTGGTGGAATGTGCCTAAACTGGGTTGTGTCTTCACTCGTGGGCGAATTCTCACATACTCCACATCGAGGTGTAAACGTTTAAGCACCAGGGGCTCAAGCGTAAAACACTCAGAGAAGAAACTGCCAAATGAACCACAGAGATGCAGCATGTCGTTTTAATTCCTATATGTGAATGATTATTAAGAATGTTATTTTTATTTCTGTCTGTTTTTTAACACTTTTTATTCCACAGTATACTCAATAGTCTAATTTTGCATATCTCCAAAACAATGAGCTGTGCAAAGTATGGTTGGGTATCATTAAGAAGCTGCCAATGTGATACATACCTCGATACATAAGCCACAATACAATACATGTGTCGATACTAGGGATGGGCATGATTAGTCGATTAATCGATAATTGATCATTAAGAATTTCATCGATTACGTTAATTTTAATCGACAAACTGAATGTAGGTTGCTGTGTGTATCGTGACAGGTGTGTACATGTGTCTCTGCATCAGAAGGAGCGAGACACAAACAGTGGGTCAGTCTGCAACGTACCGAAGCACAAATACGTATTTAACGATGATTTGTACAAGAAATTCCACGCTTTCCGTTGCGTTCGGGACAAGTGTGAGTCCATGTGCACAGTGTATAAAGCAGCACAGATGTTTCATGTCCAGTGGGAAAAAGTTTTGCCAGGTGAGAGTAGCACAATGTCGATGACGAGTCCCCACCTCCCTCCCCCCGTACGGTGTCCTGGTTTTGACAAACACAAATCTGGTCACACTAACCTGTATTCACCTGAGTCATGTCTTTTAATTCGACAGAAATTGACCGCATCAGCGACACAAGAGCTGGAGTTTTATCTTCACTTAGTTTATGCAAATTAGCGATGCGGTTTTAAGTTTTGTTTCTGTGAGAGTTGCGCGAAACTGAATTAAACACATTAGGTTCAAGGTTCAAGGTTCTTTATTTTGTCATTCAAACATGTGAGAGAAACATGACAGAACGAAATGTGCTCCCCGAGGCCCAGTGATCCAGAAAGAAATAAAAAACAATAATAATAAGCAATGTTAAAAAATAAATACATTTAAAACAACAACATTTAGCAGTTCCAATGAACAAGTAGTAAACGTGGCAAGATAGAGAGAGAGGCAACCAAAGCAGGAAGTCAGTGTGCACTGTTCACAAGTCTGACAGCCTCAGGAAAGAAGCTGAACTTCAGCCGAGAAGTTCTAGCTTTAATGTTCCTCAGTCTCCTCCCAGAGGGCAGAGGAACAAACAGATGGTGGGAGGGGTGCGAGGGGTCCCCCATGATCCTGGAGGCCCGTCTTCTACAACGCTCCTCATAAATTTCACAGATGGGTGTAAAGTCACATCCAGTGATCTTCTCTGCTGCTCTGACCACACGCTGTAGAGCTTTCCTGTCCTGGGCTGAGCAGTGGCCGTACCACACTGTGATGGACTGGGTCAACACACTTTCCACTCCACATCGATAAAAAGACATGAGAGCAGGGAGGCCTAGTCCAGCAGCCTTGAGTCTCCTCAAAAAATACAGACGCTGGTGGGCCTTCTTAACAATGCCAGCTGCATTAGTGGACCAAGTTAGGCTGTCGGTGATGTGCAGACCCAGGTATTTCCAGCCGGACACCCTTTCAACTTCTGTGCCCATGATGTAGAGAGGCGACAGTGAACAGCTGCTCCTCCTAAAATCCACTATTAATTCTTTTGTTTTAGAAAGGTTCAGACAGAGGTTGTTCTCTCTGCACCAGGTCTCCAACAGCTGTACCTCCTGTCTGTATGCCTGCTCGTTGTTTTCCGAGATTAAACCCACAACAGCAGTGTCATCTGCAAATTTAACAATTTGACAGGTCGGGTGAGAAGCCACACAGTCATATGTTAGCAGAGTATACAGCAGGGGGCTCAGGACACAGCCTTATTATAATGTCAAACGGGCTGATGTGGCTCTAGAGTCGTTATGGTTTATATGTCGTAAAGTTGAATTTATTTATGCAGATTAGTAGTGCAGATAGTAATAATAATGATGATCATTTTAATATAAAAACGTTAATGATTAATCGATAATCGATCCTTAATTCTTCCGACGATCGATTAAGAAAATTTCATCGAATGCCCATCCCTAGTCGATACAGCGCACTTTCAATTCGAAACGGTTCAATAAAAATAAAAAAAGGCTAAATCATGACTGTGATACTTAGTCTTTGTTAAACCACTTCTCCATTTTAATCATCAAAACAGTGAATATGTCAAATTTGTCACATAATAACAAGCAAACAAAACTGTAGCAATCTAACTAAATAATTTAGTAAACTATACTAAAAAAATACTCTTGGTGATATATCGATACAGCAGCCCATGATATTGATACTGTATCATCACATTAAACGATACGATATTTCAATATTTTTGCACACCCCTAGTCTAAACCATAAACAAAGCTCACTCTTAGCGCCACTGCTTCCTGTCCAGTTCTGTCTCTACGGGCATTTTGCTGAGCCACATTAATAACATTAATAGTTTCGAGTGAATGTCACTGACAACATGTTAAACAGTTTACAAATGTGGTGAAAATGTCTTATCTTTTTATCTAAATGCTAACACTAATGCGAATCTTGAGGCATAATAAATATTCAGATGACAACACAAACTGAAGTATGTGACATAGTGCTGGGCAATATGGAGCAAACAATATATCTCGATATATTTTGTTATGTCTCGATATACGATATATATCTCGATATGTGTACAGGAAAAATAACTCCCCAATAACTACTTCACAAACAAATATGCCTTTTTTTATTAAAGTGCAAAGAGGTCGGAAGTTCATGTAGGAACAAAGTGCTTCTGCCACATTTAAGATTACATAAATAATAATTTAACTGTAAAATAAAAGAAATAATACATGTTGCCTTCTTTTCATTCATAAATAAAACAACTCAACTCAAGCTTATCTTTGCATTAACCACAGGATAACCAGAACCGTGAGCTCCTTTAGCAGAGGAAGCTCGGGAGGTTCCTTATTTTAACAGATCCATGTTTCTATCCAGCAGTAAGGACCTGTGAGGCTTCCCACAATCCACTGCAGATCAAACCCAACGTTTCCAAACACTATTGCACAAGTGACACTGCAGCAGATTATTCATTAAAATCTTCTGCATAAATAAACTTTTCAACATTTAAACCATAACAACTGAGCCACATCAGCCCATTTGACATTATAATGTGTTTAATGCAGTTTTGCCACATGTGTTTACATTTAACAGAAATGAAACTTCAAAGCGCATGGCTAATTTGCATAAACAGCGCACTCCATGTGCCTCTGACTCGGTTTAGCTTCTTTCGGACTAAAGGACATGACTCAGTGGAATATGAGGATGTGCTGCTGATGGTCTTGTCTGTAAATGGTGGAAAAGGTTCGTGGTGCTTAGAAGCTTTTCATTGGCACTAACTTTGGGCATTAACAGCGATAGTGAGGAGTGAATGAGACTCAAGCAGCAAAATCAAGGAGGCGGGGGAGCGCGGAGGCAACGACAGAGAAGGCAAAGGCAAAAAGTGAAGCGGCGAAATCAGAATTGAATATAAGCATTATAGTCATATATACAATATGTCAGAATCCATATCAAGTTTAAAAAAATGTTGAGATATATTTAAAATATCGAGATATCGCCCACCCTTAATGTGACATAAAAACATGATCAGGCCGTCTGTGCTTTAATTTAAATTTTCAGTAGTTGTTTGTTTTATATTTTACATTTGAAAAAAGTTACCATTTGCTTTGAGAAAAGGTGAGCGAGCCAGTCCTCTGCTTTACAAAGAGCCTATTGCAATATGATCTCTCTTTTTAATACATACCCCACCTGGTCGTCATTGTTTTCCTCTCACTGCATGTCTGATATCTTGTATATTCTGCAGTAGTTGTGGTCAGATTTGTGCATGCTTACTGCTGTGTGTGTGTGTGTGTGTGTGTGTGTGTGTGTATGTGTGTGTGTTTGCGTTGTGTAGGACTTGGTGGAGATTCTCACAGAGGGACAGCACCTTGAGGAGGAGCTGAGGCAGATTGAGCCTTTTACTCAGAGCCGGAGCTCAGCAGCCTTCAGATTAAAGCACAGGAAGCTCTCAGCCAGTGCAGGACATGAGTATGAACAGGGAGCCCAGACGCAGGTTTCTCCAACACTTCAGTTCTGTGATTAGAAAGTCAAGATTAAACTATTAAAGGGGCTCTGCCTGATTTTTTTTCCCATGGAATAAAGTGAACTGTGTATTGCTTTAGTACAGATGGATTGTGAAATGTTAAAAGTGCATTATGTAACTTTTCACCTGCATGTCTCTGTGGATATGTTATTGATCTGCCTGAAACAGTCTTACTTTATATTTATTCAGTTACAGGTGGTTTTATAGCTCAAATTACGTAGAAAAACAGACATTCTTACTGTGAGCAGGGCCGCCTCTCCACAGATCTGACCTGTCACTTTTTTCTGATTTGGTTTCCAGGAAGATAGGTAGAAAGGTTTAATGCCATACTGCGAAACATTTCAGACAAAGCAATAACATCTCCATAGAAAAAAAACATTTCTATCACTCCACCAGAAAGGTTACACAATGCACCTTTAAAATCAATTCTGAACCAAAACAGAATCTTCAGAATTGTGTACCGCACTTTTTTAATTGATAATTCTGATGGTGAATAGGAAGTCGAGATTAAACGATTAAAGGGTTGTATCTGATATTGTAAAATATTATCTCGTGCCACAAGATCTCGCGAGAAAAATTTGCCGCAAGATCGTGCACACAACAATGATCTCGTGAGAGTTTTTTCCATCTGAATTTACCTTTGGCTTGGAAAAAAAAAAAAAAAGATGAGTGAGTTACACAATTTGAGAAGCAGTAGTTCCAAAAAAGCAAGCAGTAGTACAGTAACTGCTAAAATATATTTAAAAAATACAAGACAGTGAAGTCAAAATTTTATTGGTTGCATTACTTATTTATTACAATTTATGTCAAAATTTCATTTTTGTCTCATTCTCGAAGATCTAATCTCATGGAGTGTCTTGTCCTACCCCTATAAAATATGTATCTTTAAGTCAAAATGTGTTATGGAGAAAAACGGAATACACTCTACTACATGGGAAACAATGCACAGGCTGAAAATTTTGGCACTTCTTGTTGAAATAACCTCAAATTTTCACAGAATTTATAGAAACAGATCAAGATTTAATATTGAATGTTTTATTTTTGTTCTGTTTTCAGGTTGAGACGTTCACTCCCAAAGACAAGTCATTTTGCATCTTGAAATTTGCAAGACACAGTCACGCAAGACTGTGCAGCCTTCAATGCAAAATTTGGAAAAACTTCACCAACCGGCAAACAAATTTGAACTTTGTACCAAAAATGTAAAGAGGAAGGCTGCTTATGCCGGGCTAAACGATGACATATGTGTGTGAGCAGATTCCAAGACACAAAATGACTTCTCTTTGGGGGTGAACAACTCAACTTGAAAACAGAACAAAAATAAAACAGTAAATATTAAATCCTGATCTCTTTCTATATATTCTGTAAAAATTTCAGGTTATTTCAACAAGAATTGCCAAAATTTTACATGAATAAGTGTTAATAAGTATACACTACATTCCTTGTGGTACTGACTTTTGACAAAAAATATCTTAAGATCATACTAATATGCAGTAATAAGGAGTTAATTAATAGGAGAGTAAATAATTAGCAGCAGTTTAAGGTTATGCAGAATATGACATTAACAGTTTGGTAGTTGTGATGAAAGAAGAAAATACTATAGATGATAAATTATAACATTGGTTTTGTGCTCAGCCAATCAGAGTATGACCTCTGTGCTTCATGGTCCTGTCTCTCCCTGCGCTCATTTTGCTCTGTTTGATTTCTCCGGTCGAAGGAGGTGGAGCAGCTGCGTATGGAGAGGCTGCAGATAGACGAGCAGTTGCGTCAGATCACCCAGGGCCACCGCTCGTCTTCAGACAGAGGAGCCTATAACGCAGAGGGCAGTGCCGGCTCCTCTGCCAACCGCCCCTACAACGTGAGGGGGCGCAGGGGCAGGGGCCACAGCTACAGCACCGGATATGGTCAGCACACGTCTATAATAAAACTGCTAGTATATTATTATTATTATTATTATGTTGGTGTCCTTTTCTAATTGATCTGTGTCATAAAAAAGCAGGAGCTGGAGTAACACTGAACATTCCGTTATAGACTTGTATACAGTACTTCCCAGGGTGATGTCACTGCAAAATATTGGTTTTCTTACTTTGCAGTGACCTTATCCTGGGGGTACTGCATGTATGTCTATATAGGAATGTTCAGGAGTTACCATGGTGACACAGTGCACACATGATCAGTACTCATAGCCCAGTTTAGGTCTTTAATATTCAACCAAACTGTTGGCTAATGCTGGCTGTGACTGTAATTTTATTTGAAAGGGACATGTTTAACAGCACAAATTAGCTCCACAGTTGTAGTTAGTCAGGTGTTTCTGGTCAGTGTGTTCAAATAAAGCTCAGATTAAAGTGTAACTTGAGTAACAGAGCGTCAGACAGAACACTCTGAATGTGTGTGTCTCTTATGCAGTGTGTTTGTTTATTTGTTGCAGGCACAAACTCGGAGCAGTCCAACGCCTCAGAGACAGACTCAGAGCGCAAAGATGAGCTCAGCGACTGGTCCTTAGCCGGAGAGGACCAGGACAGGTGAGTGCCTGGAGAAGATTTGACTGTAGTAAATACCTTTTATAAAGTACTATTGTAAACATCTGTATATGTCTTCTTGAATGTTGTCCTTCTGAACAGAGAGCGTGAGAGGGGCCCTCGTCCACAGAGGGACAGCCGCAGGAGGCCTGGAGCCGGCCGAGGACGAGGAGGATCTGGAGGGAGGGGCAGAGGAAGAGGAGGATACAGCAACACATCTGGTAAAGTGTTCAGCTTTACACCGACCTTGTCTCAGAGAATAGCAACATGTACAGTATAATGCAATAGCAATAGCTCCATGTTAAAAGTATCAGTGCCATCCATCCATTTTCTTCCACTTATCCAGAGCCAGGTCGCGGGGGCAGCAGTCTAAGCAGGGACTCCCAGACTTCCTTCACCCCAGTATCAGTGCTATAGAGTATATTTTGTGTCCTTTATTTAGAATATATATGAGCAGTTTCAACACATTTTCTGTAGATATTCCTGATAAAATTACAATCTGGGGTGGACAATAACAAAATAATTCATATTAACAATCTGGAGATCTATAATCTTTTATTTTTTGGTCTATGTGCAAATATTGTTTGACTTCATCAGCTGCTGTCAATAAGTGGATGAGAAGGTAGTAGAAGTCAAATAGGTACAATTTTAAGACTTCAGTATCTTCAAAGGTCAATATTATATATTGCTTTATTTCCTACCCTCAACATTGGCTTTGTGTCACGCAAATACTGTTTTGCCTGTCAAGAAATGTTACTGTTTTAGTTCCTGAGCAGTACAATCTTTTCAGTTATGAACTATTTCCTGCTGTGTTCAGGCTACCGAGACTATGAGGCTAACCACGCCTACGGCTCAATGGAAGCCAACACTGAGACCGACCAGACCGCCGACACCGACGCCAGCGAATCCAACATGTCCGCCAACCGCCGCCGTCGCTCCCGGCGACGCAGGACCGACGAGGACGCCACCCTCATGGACGGGATGAGTGAGTCTGACAACGCCTCCGTCAGCGAGAATGGAATCGGTAGGTTTAAAAAACAGGGAGACACGCTCAGACACAGATAAGACTGCTGATTCAGTGCAAATGAAAACAGATGGAGGGCTGAGAATGTTAAGATTTTACATGACATTTTGGGGCCAAACTGGGCTTTATTTCGAGAATTAAGGATCGTGAATTGAGGTCTTTTAACTCAAAAAATGTATTAATTAATTTTATCACTGTTAATTAAAACAAAAAATCTGCTAATTTTCCATCACTCTAAAAGCCATAGATAGCCCGTGTGAAATCCAAGGTGGGTGATTTGTCTTGCCCAACAACACAACAGCGGTATACACTGGTTGGAGCAGGGACTGGAATGCTTTAAATGTTCCACAGTATGACATTAAATCGGCTCCTCCTTACATTTATTCAATTACAGGTGGATTTATAGCTGAAAAACCTAGAAAAACAGACATTCTGACTGTGAGCAGGGTCGCCTCTCCACAGATCTGACATTTAACTTGGTCTGGTTTGGTCCATGATGATAGAAAGGTTTAATGCGGTACTGTGAAACATTCCAGACAAAGCAAAGCATCTCCACCTGAAAAGTTACACAATGCACCTTTAAAGGACAATAGTCAGGTCATAGTTTTTCTCTCCCACTTTAAGTTTGCTGTTTGGTCCTTTTTGATTCTTAGCCCAATATTTACTAGTACTTTACAAATACAGAGAAATATTCAGAAGTACAAAGTTGTGATTCTGGTAAAATCTCCAGATGAGTCTGAAGCCAAACCTCAGCGTCGTAACCGCAGTCGCCGCCGCCGCGTGCGTTACCCCGAGGAGAGGCAGCCAGGTAACCATGGTGACGCCCAGAACTAAAGCTGTGTGCAAAAAAAAACAAAAAACTGACTAACGAAAGTGCTGTCTAACCTGTGTGTGAAGTGCAAAATAATATCTAAGTGTTCTCTAATGGAAACCACAGGGAGGCTGCTTGACAACGCTGTGCTTAGTGTCTTGGATTTTTATTTAAAAACTATTAATACAGTGAAAAGGGCTGGGAGATATGGCTATAAAAAGACAACATGCTGCTATTTTGTTGATAATAGCATTGTCAGTATTCAGTATTTGTCTATGAAGGTAAGGTAAATGTTATTGTCCTGGAGAGGAAATTAGTGTTTGGCTACTAGTATCACCAAAGCTCCATGAATTTTTCACAATCACTCATTACATAAAACACTTCAAATTCAGCTCCACATGCTCAATATCTGCTTCCTGATTTTAAGACTGCATAGAAAAATGGTCCACAAGCATACAACTATCAAAACATAGTATACAATAAAAGTTAAATGTTATACATTATAAGAATAAGTAAATTTTCCATTCCCCCTTCTATTGGTCAGCTTTTGTCATTTTAACAATTTTAACCAACTCTCAAGATACAAATAGCTTAGACTCTTAAAGGCAGTGTAATGGAAAGAACACTTGGCGTTCTGCTGTAATTAAGGACTGTATGGACTTATCGTTCAATATCTGAAAGCCGGAACTATATTTTTATGGATTAGTATTAATCATTTGTAAATTTTCTTTGCACAGATGGGAAATGCTTTGTTATATTATGGTTATATAATAAGATTTAAGCTGTAAAAGGTTGAATTAACTCATTACAGTTACAAACTCAGTACTAAAGTGTTGTTTATTTATTACAGTTCATGCGCATTTAATAATATTGTAGATTTAGATTAGATTTAGACTAACTTTAGTGACCCACATGGGAAATTATTTGGATACAAGTGCTCACACATAACAAAAGATGTAAATGGTAATAATACATTTTAGGGACAGAGTGTCAGATAAGACATAATTATATAAATGCATGTCAAAATAGAAAAATAAGTAATAAAAAATCTCTAGTCACATGTTTGTGGTTTAAATCTGATCTTTGGTTAGTGTGTCATTAGTTTAGTTAATTTAGCAAGTGTGCATTTTATATTCTTTTACAATGAAACAGATTATTGACATTAGTACAATCATAACAGAAACAAAACAACAATGAAAAAATGGCCCAGAAAGGAATGGGAAGAAGAAAACTCACTAAATCCCATCCCCTTTTCTAATTTAACATAATGAGCTTTCTTTTGTATTATTCATAATTTTTACATTAAACTATATGAACTCTTTACAATTGAAGACAATGAGTGATGGTTATAGCTTGGTAAACATAACAATCCTCATATTGACTTAGACAAACTTTATTGATCCACAAGGGAAATTACAGACACAGTAGCTCACACATCACAATTTATTACATTAAAATAACAAAGAGTAAAAAATATATAAAAATGGTCATAAACTTCTAAATAAGTACCAATAAAACATAGCAAGAGACTGTTGTCAAATTAGACATAATTCTATAAATGAATGTACAAGTAAATAAAAAAATCTATTATAGTATTTTGCATATTATAGTAAATAAAACATAGGCTTATCTGTTACATAAAGGTGAGTTGTTGTACATCTGTATGGAGTATAGTATGAATATTACAATAATACAGAAGGATACCAACAGCGATAAGGAAATTAAAGATGCCAACAATGTACCAGACAGCACATACGAGTAATGGTAACGGACTGAACTTTCACACACAACACACACAGCTACACAACACAGCAGATTCAGTATTATCATTATATGATCATCTGTATTTACTTTCAAAATGTCATACTTCAAAATGTGTTTTTGTTTTTTGTTTGTAAGTGTAATGAACTGTAATAGAAACTGTGTTCTCGGCTCTTACCATGTGTGATGATAATAACAGCAGTGATAATACATCGGTTTTATATACAGATTATTAACCATTTCAGAGTTGCTGTACATGAACAAACCTTTTTTTTTTTTTTTTTGGCATATCTCCCAGCCCTAAGAGTGTTTATTTGTTTTACTTGCTCTGACATTGGTGTTTTGTTTGCATTGGATTGTTGATTATGAGTCATATTTAAATGTTTTATCCATTGAAAAAAAACTTAAAACTATTGATTCTTGATTCTTGACATATGTTTCCACAGTGACAGTGGCAGACTACATATCCAGAGCGGAGTCTCAAAGCCGACAGATGCCTAAAAAGGACCCCAAGAAAAACAAGGAAGTGGTGTGTATCTGGAACACTGAGTAACTCTTGTAACAGAATAACTAAACTTACTCCCCAGGCACAAAGTTTAAGTTGTGTATTTTTAAAACCGCTTTACAATTCCACATCAGTCAAACTATTGCTGTCACCCTACTCAAATCTCTAACTAGATACTAAGACTACGCTAAGATTTTGATACTAAGGATAACTTTTAAGTTACTGATACCGCAATGTTATTACCAAACTTTTTTTTTTTTTTTAACAATAGACTGTAATTTTCAGTACAATAAAATAGTAGTTTCTGTAATATTAATGTTCTCTGATAAATCAAGAAGACTCTTCTAAAACGATTATCCAATCTAATGTATGTGTGTAGTTGCCCAAATGAGTATATCTAGTTTTGATACTAGTTCTAGTATTGATTAGTAGTTGTAGTAATATTAAATTCTGTTTTAGGTTGATTTAGTTTGACCAATTTATTTATTTTTTTAACTTATAAGTGAGAAGAAATTTAGAATATAACATAAGGTTGTAAAAAACTGATACAAAAACTAGACACTCACTTGAGCAATTATTCATTCATTAATGTTTCTTTAATTTATTTTGAGCAGATTAATGAACACAAGAAATATACATGGATCTAGTACACTTCTTGTACATTTCATATATATCTTTTTTTTTTTCTCTCTCTCTTAATGAAGCTTGAAAAGGAGTGGGAAGAAGAGAACTCAGTAACTCAATAATGAAACTAAATGAATTCCCTGAAAAGAAAAATCTGAGGCTCTCCAACTGCATTAAAAGTCTTTCAATAATATAAAACGGGGCTAGCCCAGTGTTGTATATTAAAGGACTTTTAATGCAGTCGGAGTGCCTCAGCTTTTTCTTTATAATGTCTATAAGCAGGGGAGTAGACAGGGGTGGGCAAAGGGGTCTGTTGTCCCAGATCGTTGGGCCTTAGGGGCCTAGAATTGGACTCTCTTCCTATTAATTTATATTAGAGAAGGGCCCATGTGAACCTTCTTGACCCAGGCCCCCAAATTTCTGTCAACGGGCCTGTCTGTAAGTAATAATATAGTAACACATTTTATTTCTGCAGTGCTTTTCAGGAGACTCAAAGATGCTTTACAGAATGCATATTAAAACAGCCAAAAGAGCAAAAACAAAAGATAAAAACAGATAAAAACTGTGAAAATGCATTCGCCATATATGAGAAGTTTTTCCTCTGTGATCCCGATGAGCACCTGACCTGACCTTTGACCCACTGAAGCGCTCACCTTCCTCTCTTAAAATGAATTCCTCTTGTGTTTCTTGTTACAGGTGGAGCCTATCGCCGAGCACAGCCCTCAGCCCGCTCCAGCCAGCGCCAACGTCTCCAACGGCAACAGCTCCAAAACACAGCGGTCGCCGACGGATACGCAGGGCTCCGCCTCCCACAAAGGCGACGCCAACCCAACAGTGGTCAACGGAGTCTCGTAGTTTAAACGCGGAAGGTTTCCAAACACTTGCAAGCATTTAATTTCAAGCACTGTTCTTTGAAACCTGGTCTACTGCTACTCTTTACACATATCTGTCCAGTTTTTCATTTTAATACAATTTGTACAATATTTTACAATAGTTCTTCCTGTATGAGCTTGCCAAAGACAGTCAGATAACACTTTGCTGTCCTTTTTCAGCCCCTCTTCAGCTGTTCGAGAGGGTCGGCTGAACACAGATATTGGAAATAGACAGGGATTCCTGCTGAACAAATACTGTGGTATCCAACGTAGTAGCAGGGTTTAAAAATTAGACGTTTTATCTACCTTAAACTAAAGAAATGCTTCCCCGTTTCTTCTGTGTGCCCCTTTTTCATCAATGACATGTTCCACTTCAAGCTTCACCTCCAGCATTTGTGCCTTCAGTAGTTTTAAAACGTCGTGACCTGCCTCTAGACACACGAAAAATAACCTTTGACACACTGCAGTTTCTTAGTTTCATTAGAATCGTAATCAGAGTTTTCTAGCCAGTAAAATATATCGGTTAAATTTGATATAGTAAAAAGGTGCATTATGGAACTTTTCTGGTGCGGGGTCTACGGATTTTTTATAAATTTTTTTATTTGCCTGGAATGTTCCACAGTCTCTTGCTTTCAATTGTTAAATTACAAGTTTTATATTAGGATACTAAAAAAAAACTTAATGCCATACAGTGGAACATTACAGACATCTCCATAGAAACAAGGTGTCAGACCCTCCTCCGAAAATGTTACGTATTGCACATTGGTTTCGTTAGTTCCATAATCATAGTTTTGTAGCCATTAAAATATATCAGTTTATATCAGTTAGATTTGATATAACGAAAAAAATAATTCATTTAAAGGTGCACTAAGGAACTTTTTAGTGGAGGTTGTGTCTTCGTGTCTCCATGGAGATGTGATTTGCCTGGAATGTTCCGCAGCGTAGCACTGCACTAACCTAACTTGCATTTACACGTTAGATTACTAAAAAATGACCTAAAAAAACATTCATTCGTACTGTGAGTGGGCTCGCCTCTCCGCAGATCTGGCCTGGTGGCTCCATCTGCTCCTCTCCACTTTTAGACACTTTCAGATAAGCTTCAAATGCCATACAGTGGAACATTACAGACAAAGCAATAACATTTCCATGGAAATGAGCCAACAACAACCAGACCCTCCACCGGAAATGTTACTTACACACATCTGTTTAGTAATTAGATTTTTCAGTTTGATCAGTTCGATTTGATATAATGAAAAAGTAGTCCATTTAAAGGTGTATTATGGAACTTTTCTGGTGTACGTTCTGTGTGTTGCCTCCATGGAGATGTTCTTGCTTTGACAGTGTGACACAAAACATATCTATTTTGCATTTTCTAATTAAAGTACAAGTTTTATATTACTAAAAAAATACAGTGAAAAACACACATTCTTACTGTGAGTGGGCTCGCCTCTCCGCAGGTCTGACCTGGCTGTAACTCGGCCTGGTAGGCTCCATCTGCTGCTCTGTTCCTCTCCAGAGATAAATAAGTTGACGACACATTACAGACAAAGCGATAACCCCTTAATATCTCCATGGAAACCAGAAGACATCAGACCCTCCACCGGAAATGTTCCGTATCGCCAGTTGAATCCGTTCATATTAAAACAATCATACATTTCCTCCCAGAAGTGCTAAGTACGTTTGTAGAATCAGTTCCGAAACACGAAGTCTGTTTTGAAATTAACTACAAAACTACAAAAAAAAAAAGACAATAACTTTCTGTCTCTCTTCACAAAGTGCAAAAATCCCGCTGGTCGTCCACAGGAGTTTAAAGCTGGTACATAAGGTTTACACTGCTCATGCGCCTTTCCAATACCGAGAATGTCATTGGTTTAATTGTATCTGAGAAGTCCAGTTTTGCTTTTCTTCTAAATGTGGTGAGGAATTTGAACTTTAGCTGCTTTCATTATTTTTGTTTTTTGTTTCTTTCTTTTCAATATGCAACCACTTTTAAGTCATAGAACACAGCATAAAACTTTAAAAAAAAAACATAGATCAAACTTTTAACTTTGCACTGATGTGTTGTGTAACTGGTCCATTGTAGACTCTGGATTTGACCGCTCACTGTTGAGGACTGGACAAAGATGTAGCGTCAGAGTGGTTTTTCCTGTAAACCAAATCTCTATTCGAACATTTGAACTTTATTCTATTCACGGGGACATTTTGTGGATTTTCTGATGAGGTTTTCTGAGGCACTAGGCGATGTTTTTGGACTCAAAGATGCACCGTGTAACTTTTCTGGTTTCATTGGAGTTAATTTCCGCCGTTCGATTATCGATACTTTGCAATGACGTCGCGCTGGAGGGGTTCTACATGTGTGTTTATATTGGAATGTACCATCAGTTACCATGGTGAGGCAATGCACACATTAGTAAAAGCCTAAGAAGTATTTCCAATCTAAAAGCTCAAGTTTAAATCTATTTTGTAATTTTATCAACATATTTTTTGAGGCACTAGGCAAAAATGTTTGACTCAAAGATGCATCGTGTAACTTTTCTGGTTTGGCTGGTGTTAATTTCCACCGTTTGATTATCGATACTTTGCAGTGACGTCACGCTGGAGGGGTTCTACATGTGTGTTTGTGTCAAAATGTGCCATCAGTTGCCATGGTGACACAATGCACACATTAGCAAAAGCATAATGTTTTAGTTTTTAGATAGTTTGAAAGCTCGAAAGTTTGAAAGTTTAAATCAGGTTTGTAATTTTATCAATATATTTTCTGAGGCACTTGGCAAAGTATCAATAACGGAACAGCCTTAAATGATAGTGGCCAAAAAGTTACACAGTGCATCTTTAAGTCAAACATTTTTGCCGTGACATTGCGCTTCTACATGGATGTCTATGGTGGAATGTACCATTGGTTACCATGGTGACGCAATGCACACATTAGCAAAAGCCGAATAAATTTTTAGAAGTTTTAGTCTGAAAGCTCAAATTTAAGTCAGTTTTATAATTTTATCAACATATTTTCAGAGGCACTTGGCAAAAATGTTTGACTTAAAGTCAAAGCACCGTGTAACTTTTTGGCCACTATCATTTAAAGCTGTTTCATTATTGATACTTTGCAGTGACATCGCGCTTCTACATGGGTGTCAATGGTGGAATGTACCATCGGTTACCATGGTGACGCAATGCACATATTTGCAAACACAGCCTAATATGTTTTTTGAAGTTTAAATTCAAGTTTAAATCAGTTTTGTAATTTTATGAGCACCTTTTCAGGAGCCAAATCAGCAGCAGCTCACATTTGTAGTTTTGCTCTTTCTGGTCAAACTGTTCAGACAAAAGTCTTAACTCGAGTTACAGAGCTTCAGACAGAGCAGTGCCGCCAGTTAGCTTCAACCTCCAGGGAATCTTGATGACGCCAGCTGCAAAGTGTCACCAGCAAAAATCCAAATCACAAAATCAGTTGAAATCAAGATTATTTCAAAAAGTTACTCCAGCAGTGTCAAAATGTGCTTGTAGTGAAATAATTCAATTTATTTGTACTGTTTTTGTGACATTAGAAACTATAAACTACGAGTTGTAGTTTCGATTCCAACATTTTTGTAGTATAATAGAGCAATAATTCAAGTTTTAATTATATATTTGCTTAACTGCACATCCTTACCTTCAGCTTTTGCCCATGAAGATGCTTTGTTTGGAATGTTCCTCAGTACAGCATTAAAACTTTCCAACTTACCAATAGCGTTTATTCAGATTACAGATGTTTTAATGCATTGAAATTGAAAAACATGTGCTTCTGTGAGCGGGGTCGCCTCTCCACAAATCTGACCTGTAACTTAACCTCACGGCATAACTTGTTTGACTCTTTACAGGTAGATAAGTTTAATGCCATACTCTGGAACACTCTAGGCAAAGCACTAACATCTCCATGGAAACAAGCTGACTGCTGATCCTCCACTAGAAAAGTTACTCAGTTCACCTTTAACACTGTACTGCTGTAAATAGAGCAACAAGTTCAAATAGCCTCGGGTTTGGGGTTCTTAAAGGTGTACTGTGTAACTTTTCTGGTAGAGAGCCCCGTCAGTTACTTTTCTACATGGAGATGCTATTGTTTTAACTCCAATATTCCAAAGTATGGCATTAAACTTTTCAATCTCCATGGAAACAAGCAGGAGACACCACCGAGGTCACAATAAGAAAGCGTGTTTTAAAGGTATTTTTGAGCAATAAAAACACACATAATTGAATAAATGCATCTTGTAGAAGTTTAATACTGTACTGAGGAACAGCTCCATCTTCATCTCCATGGTAACGGACCCCCAAAAGTCCTTTAAGTCCACCTTTAAGTCCTTTCAAAACCCTCTTCAGAAAACGCAAACTGTCCCTAAACACAACTACGTAAAAAAAAAAAAAAAGTCTGAATTTATCGTCCGTAGAAATTCACGAAGCTGTACGAGTAAGTGTTGTAAAACGTTCCTGGAAACTGTAGCCCAGGGCAACGCCACTTTCTAAGGCTCTTCCACGCAAACTGGTCACGACTGCCCCGCCGCGGACAGAGGTTTATTTGGGTTATTTATTTTAAGAGAATGTACAGTATTTAAAAATAAAAACAAAAAAAAAGACAAGGAAAAATCTTGACACTAAAAACAGGCGTTACTGGATCCTTTCGGAGACAATTTGGACGACTGGGAGTTGTGTCTCTAGTGTTTTCGTTGACTCAGCTTCAGTACGTTTTATAAGGACTGTTCTGGTTGGTTGATGTGCAATATGTTTTGTATGGGTAGTTCTTAAATAAACTTGATTTTCCATGTGGATCTTCACAGAGTCCTCGGCTGTCTCATTTATGATTCTATTTTCATGAACAGATTCTATTTGTAGTAAGAGCAGTAGAGGGAGTACGAGTAGTAAGAATAGTAGGTAGTAATAGGAGTAGTGGATAGAAATAAGTAGTAGGAGGGGTATGAATAGGAGTAGTAGTAGTAGTAGTAGGTGGTAGTAGGAGTAGTAAGAGTAGGGGTAAGTGTAGTAGTAGGGGTCGTAGGTAGTAAGTGGTAGTAAGAGTACGAGTAGTAGTAGGGGTAGGAGTGGTAAGAGTAGGAGTAGCAGTATTAGGGGTGTGAATAGTAGTATTAGGGTAGGAGTAGTAGTATTAGGGTACGAGTAGTAGTAGTAATATTAGGAGTAGTATTAAAAGGTAGGACTAGTAGTAGTAATATTAGGAGTAGTAGTAGTAATATTAGGAGTAGTAGTATTAAAGGTAGGAGTAGTAGTATTAAAGGTAGGAGTAGTAGTATTAAAGGTAGAAGTAGTAGTATTAAAGGTAGTAGTAGTATTAAAGGTAGAAGTAGTAGTATTAAAGGTAGGAGTAGTAGTATTAGGGTACGAGTAGTAGTATTAGTTATATTACTAGTATTACGACTTTACGTCTGTGCTTATGCCACAATAAGGACGGTAAGATAGGGTCATTTTATTCATTTTTATTTAAAAATATCAATTTCTCCACAGTATTTGGACTCAGATGGTTTCTTTTTTACAGAGAATTTCCCCTCCTTTAAAAAAATAAAAATCTCAAATAGAATGTACCAAACTGTTTCGAATCGCGCCAAATCCGTGAACCACTTCCTGAAGCAGTCACATGGTACAGCCGGGCAGCGAGGCTTCGGACGTCATCATTTTTGGCTCCTCCCCCAAATGAAGCAAGCCTCGAGTCCAGTGCAAAAAATTTACCTGCACCAAACAAATCTTTATTGTGTCCTCCGTGTCGTGAGCAAAATTAAATACATATTTACAAAAATAACTGTGCTTAACTAAACAAAAGCAACAGAAATTAATACAACAAATGAAAATAACCCACAGGCACCCAGCTGCACTGATGGTGAACCTGTAACTGATTACACTGCCTCTACTTTTATACCACCCAGAGAGGAAGTCCCTCCCCCTGGGTTTGCACCAACTCACAGGTTAAATTCTCACAATTTCCTCATTTTCCTGGTGTGCTGCATTAGTTTATTCTCAGAGGCCTAAATCCCCCTTTAAACTAAACTGTGCTCCAACTCAACTAGAAACACTAAAACCAAAATTCTACAAACCAATTTGATAAAACAAAAAGAACCAATTCTGAGGCTTCCCTCCACATGGTCTGGGCCAACACCTCCCCTGAACCTATAAATATGGCTGCCAAAAGACACGCCTCCTCTTTGTTCCCAGACCATGTGGAGTCACAGGTAAAGGTGGTAAGTTTAAACAAAATGAATAGATATAACCAAATAAAATGAGTTTAATTAAAGTAACTGTGTGAATGTGATCAATTAAACTAAACAAAGACTAAATAAAACAAACCCGGGATAGTCTCATTTAGCTGTTTAGTTGATAGATGTAAATGAAATAAAGTGAAAAGAAATGGGGACAAAGGCCCTCTTTGTCACAGTGGGTTAAGCCCCCTGCAAGGGAAAAATCACACATCAAAATTCAATGGTAGAAAACCAATCTGCTATTTATGTGGACAAGAGGATCATACTAAACCAACGTGCCCACAAAATCCTGTTAAGTTGTCCCAGATGTGCTTTGTGCCCAGGGAAGAACTGCAGAGGGCAGCGATGAAGCAGGCATTAAAGGAGACACCTGTGGAGCTCAATGGACATCCGCTCAAAGCACTGATGGATACAGGAAGTACACAGACCCTGGTTCAGCGCAGGTATGTGTCACCTCAGTCTGTCTGCAGCACTGAGACCGTTCCAATCTGCTGTGTCCATGGTGATGAAAAGAAATATCCTACAGCTGATGTCTATATCACCGTAAAAGGACAGACTCACCTGCTCAATGTTGGGGCAGTGAATAACCTGCCGTTCTGGTCATTTTGGGCAGTGACTTACCTGTGTTAATTGACCTGCTGCAATCTACTCAAATGTGCACTGGAGCTCTCACCCGGGCCCAGGCAAAACAATCAAAGGACGTTATTTCTAGGGGTGTGCAAAAATACCGATGTATCATATCGTTTAATTTGATGATACAGTATTGATATCGTGGGCTGCTGAATCGATATTTTGCCAAGAGTATTTTTAGAAATATTTTACAAAATTATTTTGTGTAAAAGCTCCAGTTGTGTTCACATTTTCACAGTTTTGAGTAAAATGGGTGTTTTTCATATTAACTTTGCACAAACTCAGTGGACTTAGTAGATTTTTAGAACCACAGCCATGATTTAGCTTTTGTTTTCATACTGAATCGATTTGATATAACCATTCCAATCCAAATCCAACTTTATTTGTATAGCACATTTTATAAACAAGACCGGTTCCAAAGTGCTTTACGTAGCAATGTAAACATTTCACTTAAAAAAAACAAAACTCTGCTGAATTATGTTCCAACCATGAGGAAACTAATAGAATCAATAAATAAAATAATACTAAAATCACTGAACAAAAATAATAAAATGTATATATCTCTGTCTGTCTGTCTGTGTCTGTCTCTCTATCTCTCTCTAGTATTGAATCAAAAGTGCACTGTATCCAAAAACGTATCGTATCGTGGCCTATGTATCGACATATGTATCATATCGGCAACTTCTTAATGACATCCAGCCCTAATTATTTCAGACCTTAGCACTCTGCCTTTCTATAATGTTGAGTTTTCTACAGAACAAACTACTAAAGAGCACAAATCCAGGAGACAGCAGAGGATGGAGAAGTTCCAAGGCACCGTGGTGACTCCTCCTGACACACCAGAGCTTGAGGTACAGCGACATTTCCAAATACCTGGTCATATTATAGAGCTGCAGCACCAGGATGTAAAGCTAGCTCAGTACTTTCAGCATGCTAAAACCAATAACAATGATTTGTGTGTTCAAAATGGCATACTCTACAGACAACAGGGGTCAACAAAACAGCTCATAGTACCGGAATCAGTCAGTTAGTGTGGTTCTTCAGCTGCACTAAGGCTGACCAGCAGGCACTCCAGCAGGTGGTGAAAGCAGCCGGTAGAATCATTGGAACAACTCTGCCAGAAATCAGCACCATCTACTCCACTCGCTGTCTGAGAAGAGTGCACAACATCCTGCAGGACCAACATCACCCTGCGCACCACCTTTTCCACCTGCTGCCCTCAGGGAGAAGGTCCAGGTCCATACGGGCCAGAACATCCAGACTGACCAACAGTCTGTATCCACAGGCTGTGAGGCTCCTGAACTCTGCCCCTCTCCCCCCTCGGCCCCTCTCTGCCCCCCTCCCACGGACAAAAACCACATCCAACTTTTAATAACACTGAACTGGTTGCACTGTTGCATTTTTGTCATGATTCTCAGGTCTGTCTGAATGTCCCTGTCTGTGCACGTTACTTGACGCCCTCATCATGCTGCTATAAGAACTGTCTCATGTTGTACTGAGGCCACACTGGGTCAATGTTTTCACTTGGGTTTAAGGGGTATTTATGGGTTTGCACTTTATGGGATGCTCCAATTTTGTTGTTCTTCTGTGACAATGACTAGAAGTTGAAATAAACAAATAAACAAACAAATAGAAACTGTTTTAAAATTGGGCCACTCTATTCCCTGGGCTGGCCACCTGGGGAAGCATAAGACCTTTGCCCGCATAGAAGTTTTTTCTGGCCTGGCTTGTGCAAAGATGTTGTACAGTTTTGCAGGAGCTGCCCAGAATGTCAGAAAACATCATCCAGACTCCCCAAAAAAAGCTCCGCTCCACCCTCTACCAATTGTGAGTACACCATTTCAGCGCTTGGCCATGGACATTGTTGGACCTGTGGAGAAAAATCGGGTAACCGCTTCATGCTAGTGCTAATGGACTATGCATCCAGAGGTTTTTCCCCTTAAAAACTGTCAAAGCAAAAACGGTAGCCTTCTGTTTAGTGCAGTTTTTTTCAAGAGTGGGGTTTCCTCAGGAGATACTCACAGACCAGGATACCAATTTTATATCAAAACTTCTGAAAGATGTGTACCAGTTGTTGGGTATCAAAGGACTGAGAACAACACCATATCATCCAGAAACGGATGGATTAACTGAAAGGTTTAACCAAACACTTTTAACAGATGCTACCGAAATTTGTAAATGAAACCGGCTCAGACTGGGATCAATGGCTCCCATACATCGTTGTTTGCATATAGAGAGATTCCCCAGTCCTCTACAGGGTTTTCTCCTCTTTTGAGCTACTGTTTGGTCATGAAATGAGGGGACCCCTGACAATCCTAAAGGAACTGTGGGAGGGGGAGGGAACTAACAAAGAACTTGTGAATGTTGTTTCCTATGTGCTCCAGATGCGGGAGAGGCTGGAGAAGATGACCGCTCTTGCCCAGGAGCACATGAAGACCTCCCAGCACAAACAAAAGGCCTGGGATGACGCTGCGTCCAGAGAGCGGGGATTTGTGCCTGGTCAGAAGGTCCTGGTAATGCTGCCGTCGGAGGATAGCAAGCTGCTGGCAAAGTGAAGTGACAGGGCCCCTATGAGGTAATGGAGAAATTAGAACCAACAACCTATAAAATTTCTGTTCCAGATCAAAGCCGCTCTACCCGGGTTCTCCATGTAAACCTGTTAAAGGAATGGGTCTCCAGACCTGAAGACCAACAAGCTTCCTTTTACATCAAAAATGCAGAGGATGAGGACCTGGAGGAGCAGTATCTGCCTGTCCCAGCAACTTCAGTACCCAGTCTTGACCACCTGACAGAAAACCAAAGGTCTGCGGTGCAGCACATCCCGGGCAAGCAGAACGCCATTGCTGACTACATGTCCCGCTGTGCGAGTGAGCCTTCAGAGGAGGGGGAGTGTGTGGTGGATCCCTCTGCCACCACCCCATAGTGTCAGTATTAGTACATTTTCATTATTATTTACATGAAGTTAATTACATTACACATAATTTAATTCCTTTATTTAGACTTATGTTCTAATTTGAGTGCACACATTTTAGTTAATATAGGTCTAATTTACTTACACTTGTTCTTTTTGTTTTTTTGAGCACCGGACGGACGGACGACCCTGGGAGAGACCATCAGGACTCAACAAAGGGGGGGAGCACTATTTAGTTTGTTTTACTAAGTTAATTTTAGTTTGTGTTAAGGTCACGTTATTATCACTTATTATTTTCTGTGTTATAATTATTTGCTTTTTTGTTACTTTGATTAAGTTATTGGTTTAGTTAATTAGTGTAATTCCTCCATCTTGTGTTTAGTTTTAGTTGGTCCTTAGGTATTTAAACACCTCTGTTCCTTTGTCGGGTTGGGTTAGTTTTGTTCTGTTCGGTTTGATTTTGAGTTACCCCAGTTGGGCCCAGTTTTTTTTTTGTTAATTTGTGTAATTTGAGCCTTTGTTAAATTATATATGTATTTGCCTTTCTGTTTGGTCCACTACAGGTAGGAATAGCAGTATTAAGCGTAGGAGTAGTAGTATTAAGGGTAGGAGTGGTAGTAATAGGGGTACGAGTAGTAGTAACAGTAGTAGTAGGGGTAGAAGAAGAATAGGTAGTGTAGTATAGTACGATGTTTTCAGATGACATAATGTTCTAAACTCCAGTATTTGTATATTATTTTTACATATATATTTTTACAGGTGGAGGCAGCTGAAATAAATATGATTAAAATGCATTTTTGTGAATTCTTGTTTTGAATCACTCATAAATGATCAAATACAACATTTGTACATTTATTTATGGCAAAGTATCAAATCAGACTATCTGCCTCATCTGGACTAAGACACACACACTCACATTGTACAATCTGAAAAACACCATAGAGGCATTTTGGAATTTTATAATGGGGTTATAAATAAAATTCTTAAACATACTACCTTTGTGTAAGTTATCAGTTTGAAATCAAAGTTTTTAAAATGTATATAAAGAAATCTAAATACAGGAGACAAACAGTGACATTAAATTCCCCTGTCTGAAGTTTAATCATGATCATGATCATGATTAATCATGATATGAAAATGGTCATAATTATGAACTCACTGGTCATTTTATAATAATGATCAGCAGAGGTGGGACCGAAGTCATTTTGCAAGTCCGAGTCAAGTCCAAGTCGAGTCTCGAATCGCTGGCTCATAAGTCCAAGTCAAGTCCCAAGTCAGTGAAGTCCAAGTCGAGTCTCGAGTCTCTTGTTCATAAGTCCAAGTCAAGTCCCAAGTCACTGGCTCATAAGTCCAAGTCAAGTCCCAAGTCAGTGAAGTCCAAGTCGAGTCTCGAGTCTCTTGTTCATAAGTCCAAGTCAAGTCCCAAGTCACTGGCTCATAAGTCCAAGTCAAGTCCTCTGCTTTGAGCTTCAAATCATTTCAAGTCTTTAAACCAAATTAAATTATAGTTTAGATTTTTGCAATTTATATGAAATTTAAACCCAATTATGCTTAAAAAGTCATGGTCTATTGATATATAAGTATTTATGTAAGAGTTGTATGTTTCTTTTTTAAATGTCTGAGTTAAATCCCAAGTCTATTTTATCAAATCAAGTCTCAAGTCCTAAAAATAGTGACTCCAGTCTGACTCGAGTCCATGTCATGAATGATTACTCTGCAGATGTCTTTATATTGCCTTGTTTACAGAGTTTGTACAGAAATGATTTCCAGCAGCCTTTTGAATCCATTTCCACATCTTTCATTTATTAAACGTGATTATATTACAACAGATTAAGGGCTGTGAACACTTTGTACACTGTGTAGAAAATGTCTTTGTTGAAGTTCCAAAGCAGAATCATGAGGATCACTTCTTGGTCTGGTCGTCCATCAGGTCCTTGGCTTCGTTTATTTTTGCTGCGAGGTACGGCGACCCCCCTGAAACACAAGAGCGGTAAGTTTTATTATATTTCTGGTTAAAGATCCACTATGTAACTTTTTCTGGTTGAGAGTCTGCCATCTGCTTGTCTCCATGGAGATGTTATTGCTTCACCTGGAACATTCTATGGTGCGGCTTTAAACTTATAAAAATGTGATTGTTCAAGTGTTGGTGTTTTATTTCTCTAAAATACACAGAAAAACTAATACTGTTACTGTGATCAGAGTCAGCTCTCCACAGATCTGACTTGTAACATGGCCAGGTGCTTTTGTCTCCATGGAGAAGTTATCGCTTTGCCTGGAATGTTCCACAGTATGGCATTAAACGTAGCTAAACTTATTTACTCAATTACTGGGGATTCTATTTCTCAAAAATATATTGAAAAACATGTATTCTTAATGTGAGAAGAGTCAGCTCTCCACAGATCTGACTTGTAACATGACCAGGTTATAGCTTTACCTGGAATGTTCCACAGTATGGCTTTAAACTTATTTATTAAACTGTTGAGGTTTTTATTTATTCAAAATACACTGAAAAACATACATTCTTATTGTGAGTCGATTTTCCACAGATCTGACTCGTAACATGGCTAGGATTTGACTTGTTTAATGCCATACTGATGCCAGACGAAGCAAGAACATCTCTATGGAAACTGGCAGGTTGAGTACCCTCCATCAGAAAAGTTACATTACCATCTATGAAAAAAAAAAATCCAAAATACTGTAGATGTGTTTGAGTTTTGTTCTTACCTCGGTCTGGGTGGTTTAGGATCATCAGTTTTCTGTGAGCTTCCCTGATTTTATTCTTATTAGCTGTTGGGCTGTAAACACAAAACACAAGTGGTAAAAACACACACTATCATACAATGTTAAATATACAAAAAATACATTAAATAATGAAGCTACAGATTGAATATTTGGTACAATCAAAGTAAGTACTACAAATCTACAACAGGTGTCTCCAACCTTTTTCCTCTGGTGAGCTACACTTAAACACAAACGCTGGAGAGCGACTCATTTTAGCCGTCGCAGTAACTGGAGTAAATATAAGAGCCTTAGATGTGCAGTTTGATGCCTACAAAACATTTACACAACTATTATCCATTTATTAGTGCACAGATAGGCAGATAGGCATCAGAACGATACATTTACAATGGTAATAGTCATTTAATTAAATCAAATTTAAGTTATTCAGCACAAAACATATGATTCAGAAATCCCTTGGTGAGCTACTTAGAAGAGAGCTACAGGTTGGAGACCCCTGAACTACAATTTATAACTGAAAAAATTAGAGCTACAAATAATAACAGGTTGCTCTTACGTTCCAAAAAATGGAAAATATAAAAATGGGACTAAAACTGTGGTTCTGAATCCTAGAACATTAGAATTCATTGTACATTTAGACACGTTTGTCCATGTCAAGAGGTTTAGGAGCTACGGCTTTGAGCTTTTGGTGTGAGGCCTATGGTTGGGACGGGGACTTCAAGTACTTGTCTTGTTCTGTTTTGTCCTTTCTGTGTCCTGTGTGTCCTGTGTGTCCTGTCTGTGTCCTGTCTGTGTCCTCTCTGTGTCCCGTCTGTGTCCTGTCTGTGTCCTGTGTGTCCTGTCTGTGTCCTGTCTGTCCTGTGTGTCCTGTCTGTGTCCTGTCTGTCCTGTGTGTCCTGTCTGTGTCCCGTCTGCGTCCTGTGTGTCCTATGGTGTCCTGTCTGTGTCTTGTCTGTGTCTTGTCTGTGTCCTGTATGTGTCCTGTCTGTCCTGTCTGTCCTGTGTGTCCTGTCTGTGTCCCGTCTGTGTCCCGTCTGCGTCCTGTGTGTCCTATGGTGTCCTGTCTGTGTCTTGTCTGTGTTCTGTCTGTGTTCTGTCTGTGTCCTGTCTGTCCTGTGTGTCCTGTCTGTGTCCCGTCTGTGTCCCGTCCGTGTCCCGTCTACGTCCTGTGTGTCCTATGGTGTCCTGTCTGTGTCTTGTCTGTGTTCTGTCTGTGTCCTGTCTGTGTCCTGTCTGTGTCCTGTCTGTGTCCCGTCTGTGTCCCGTCTGTGTCCTGTGTGTGTCCTGTGTGTCCTGTCTCTGTCCTGTTTGTCCTCTGTGTGTCCTCTGTGTGTCCTGTCTGTGTCCTGTCTGTCCTGTGTGTCCCGTCTGTGTCCTGTGTGTCCCGTCTGTGTCCTGTCTGTGTCCTGTCTGTGTCCTGTCTGTCCTGTGTGTCCCGTCTGTGTCCTGTGTGTCCTGTCTGTGTCCTGTCTGTCCTTTGTGTGTCCTGTCTGTCCTGTGTCTGTCCTGTGTGTGTCCTGTCTGTCCTGTGTCTGTGCTTTGTGTGTCCTGTCTGTCCTGTGTGTGTCCTGTGTGTCCTTTGTGTGTCCTTTGTGTGTCCTGTCTGTCCTGTCCTGTGTGTCCCGTCTGTGTCCTGTGTGTCCCGTCTGTGTCCTGTCTGTCCTGTGTCTGTCCTTTGTGTGTCCTGTCTGTCCTGTGTGTGTCCTGTCTGTCCTGTCTGTCCTTCGTGTGTCCTGTCTGTCCTGTGTGTGTCCTGTGTGTGTCCTGTGTGTGTCCTGTCTGTCCTTTGTGTGTCCTTTGTGTGTCCTTTGTGTGTCCTGTCTGTGTCCTGTCTGTGTCCTGTCTGTCCTTTGTGTGTCCTGTCTGTCCTGTGTGTGTCCGTTTGTGTGTCCTTTGTGTGTCCTGTGTGTGTCCTGTCTGTCCTTTGTGTGTCCTTTGTGTGTCCTGTCTGTCCTTTGTGTGTCCTTTGTGTGTCCTGTCTGTCCTTTGTGTGTCCTTTGTGTGTCCTGTGTGTGTCCTGTCTGTCCTGTGTGTGTCCTGTCTGTGTCCTGTCTGTCCTTTGTGTGTCCTGTCTGTGTCCTGTGTGTGTCCTGTCTGTGTCCTGTGTCTCCTGTCTGTGTCTTGTGTGTCCTGTCTGTGTCTTGTGTGTCCTGTCTGTGTCCTGTGTCTCCTGTCTGTGTCCTGTGTGTCCTGTCTGTGTCTTGTGTGTCCTGTCTGTGTCCTGTGTGTCCTGTCTGTGTCTTGTGTGTCCTGTCTGTGTCTTGTGTGTCCTGTCTGTGTCTTGTGTCTCCTGTCTGTGTCCTGTGTCTCCTGTCTGTGTCTTGTGTGTCTTGTGTGTCCTGTCTGTGTCTTGTGTGTCCTGTCTGTGTCCTGTGTCTCCTGTCTGTGTCTTGTGTGTCCTGTCTGTGTCCTGTGTCTCCTCTCTGTGTCCTGTGTGTCCTGTCTGTGTCTTGTGTGTCCTGTCTGTGTCTTGTGTGTCCTGTCTGTGTCCTGTGTCTCCTGTCTGTGTCCTGTGTATCCTGTCTGTGTCTTGTGTGTCCTGTCTGTGTCCTGTGTCTCCTGTCTGTGTCTTGTGTCTCCTGTCTGTGTCCTGTGTGTCCTGTCTGTGTCTTCTGTCTGTGTCCTGTGTCTCCTGTCTGTGTCCTGTGTGTCCTGTCTGTGTCCTGTGTGTCCTGTCTGTGTCCTGTGTGTCCTGTCTGTGTCCTGTGTGTCCTGTCTGTGTCCTGTGTGTCCTGTCTGTGTCCTGTGTCTCCTGTCTGTATCCCGTGTCTCCTGTCTGTGTCCCGTGTGTCCTGTCTGTGTCCCGTGTGTCCTGTCTGTGTCCTGTGTGTCCTGTCTGTGTCTTGTGTCTCCTGTCTGTGTCCTGTGTGTCCTGTCTGTGTCCTGTGTGTCCTGTCTGTGTCCTGTGTGTCCTGTCTGTGTCCTGTGTCTCCTGTCTGTGTCCTGTGTCTCCTGTCTGTGTCTTGTGTGTCCTGTCTGTGTCTTGTGTGTCCTGTCTGTGTCCTGTGTCTCCTGTCTGTGTCTTGTGTGTCCTGTCTGTGTCCTGTGTGTCCTGTCTGTGTCCTGTGTGTCCTGTCTGTGTCCTGTGTCTCCTGTCTGTGTCCTGTGTGTCCTGTCTGTGTCCTGTGTCTCCTGTCTGTGTCCCGTGTGTCCTATCTGTGTCTGTGTTGGTCTTGATTACATATTTGTCCTGTTTTGTTCTGTTTTTGTTTTTATGTTTTATCTTGTATCATTTTTGTGCAGTGTGGTTTAATATTTGGTTGTAATTTTTGTTGAATATTATTATTGTTTTTATTTGTGTTTATTGTTTAATTTGTGGATTATCTATCTAGCTATCTAAAAAAATAAATAAAAAATAGGAGCACTGTGGGAGTTTTGCTTCATTCCCCCCCTCCTCCCCTCATGTTACGTTGTACTGTTTTACGTAAAGCTGCACCTGAGATAATGGCAGAACCTGAATTTCTCCTTGGAGATCAATAAAGTATCTATCTCTTGTTGATGTCTGTCTGGTTGACTAAGATTATTTTATCACAAAGTCTATGAATTAAAAAAAAAAAAAAAAAAAAGTACTTTTCAAAACTAGTGGCGCTCAAATCTAAAGACACTCTCACATTTAAATCTAGTTTAGTATTGTTCTAGTCCTGTTCTAATCCTGGTTTAGTCCTGGTTTAGTCCTGTTCTAGTTCTGTTCTAGTTCTGTTCTAGTTCTGTTCTAGTTCTGTTCTAGTTCTGTTCTAGTCCTGGTTTAGTCCTGGTTTAGTCCTGTTCTAGTCCTGGTTTAGTCCTGTTCTAGTCCTGTTCTAGTCCTGTTCTAGTCCTGGTTTAGTCCTGGTTTAGTCCCAGTTATGATATAGTTTGTGGGAACAGCACAGACCATATTATGACCATCCAACAGATCAGTGTGTGGATGCAAAACAACTTTCTCCAGCTAAACTCTGACAAGACTGAAGTCATAGTGTTTGGTCCACAGAAACAAAGGGACAGTGTCAGCAGTCATTCCAGTCTCTCTCTCGAAAACCTTCAAATCAGGCAAGAAATCTAGGGGTAATAATGGACTCAGACTTGAACTTTAACAGTCACATAAAATCAATAACATCTGCAGCCTTTTACCATCTAAAAAACATAGCAAAAATCAAAGGTTTACTGTCTAAATCAGACTTGGAGAGACTTATCCATGTGTTTGTCTCCAGTAGGTTAGATACTGTAATGTTCTGCTCACTGGTCTCTCCAAACGAGCTGTGAGACGCTGCAGAACATCCAGAACGCTGCAGCTCGGGTCCTGACTCGAACTAGGAAGCACGAGCACATAAGTCCTGTGCTCAGGTCTCTGCACTGGCTCCTGTGCCTCAGAGAATAGACTTTAAAGCAGCTCTACTTGTACAAGTCTCTCCATGGCCAAGCACCAAAGTCCATCTGTGACATGTTAGTGTCATATGAACCATCTCACACTCTGAGGAGCTCAGGGACCGACCTCCTGCTGGTGCCCAGAGTTACGACTAAACAAGGGGAGTCAGAGTTTCAGGTTCATGCAGCTAAAACCTGGAACAGTCTGAACATGCGAGACAGACTCTTCTGTGACGCTGTTTAAATCCAGACTCAAAACATTTCTGTTTAACTGTGCAAATAACTGAAAGGTTTTCATTCCGCACTCTTCTCTCCAATTTATGTCTCTCTTTTTTAATTTTAATCTTCATGATTATTTATGTTTTGATTTGTTTTTATTATGATTTTAATGTATTTCTTATTCTGTAAAGCACTTTGAATTACTTTGTGTACGAATTGTGCTGTACAAATAAACTTGCCTTGCCTTGCCTATTACCACTGTGTTCTTTAGCAAGGCACTCCACCCATTTGTCTATATGAATGTGTGATTGGCCGCCCCACCCTTCCTGCCGTAAGTATTGTCACTTTGTATAATATTAGAATAATTCAGAATGTTAAGAATGTGGTGTGGTTAGTAACAGTATTTACCTGATCCCTAAAACTAAGGCAGCTTCTCTCTTCGTCATCTTTGGCTCAAACCCTCCTCTGTAGTAGCCTCCACCAAAAGCCTACAACAACACACTTTGAATCAGTAAAAAAAAAGAACAAACAATTGTTTTTGCTTTTGTTTATATGTTTTGTTGTGTGTAAAACTACTGACCGAAGTGGGGAAACTTTTCAGAGCCTGTTTCATTTGAGGCTCCACCTGTTTAATGGCCTGCATGGCATAACGTCCTGCAAGAGAGGAAGAGAGGTAAAACAAAATCTTCAGAGATTAAAGAGACATTAAACCCACTCCCGAAGCGGCGCGGACCAGTGCGGAAACAGAGCGGACATATGTGCTCGGATCACGCCATTTCCCTTTTCTCCAGACACGGCGGGACATGGCGGTGCCCAGCGGTGCCAGGTAGGGGAGGGGCTCACATACTCGTCACGTAGTAACCTGCATCTGACTCACTGGTGCCATTAGTCCAACCTAAAAATTCAAATGTTCTGGCCATAGTTGATGAAAGAATTTTTTATATTTTTAACAAATATGCACTAAAATGCCAAAATAAGGCCAGAGATAGAGACACACTTCTATTTTAGACACATTTACACAGAGAATCAGAAGAAAAAAATGATTTTGGTGTTTGGTCACTAAACACACACACTTTTTCTCCTGATTCTTCCACTTTCCAGTAATTACTGGTCACAGCCAGAGGTGGGACAAAGTCGTTGTTTTACAAGTCTCAAATAAGTCTCAAGTCTTTGACCTCAAGTCCGAGTCGAGTCCAAGTTGTCTGTTTTGAGCTTCAAGTTATTTCAAGTCTTTAAACCAAGGTACCAAATATATCAGATTTTTGCAGTTTAAATAATTTTTAAACAAAATTGTACTTAAAAAGTCTTGGTATATTTATATACAAGTATTTATATAAAAGTTGTAGAAATGTTATTTTTTCCTTTTTAAATGCCTTGACAAGAGTGTGAATTAATAACAGTTCATTTGTCAACTAGTCTAAGCATCAAGTCTTCTCAAGTCACAGGGCTCAAGTCCGAGTCAAGTCCCAAGTCAATGACTTTCAAGTACAAGTCGAGTCCCAAGTCTTAGTCCATTTTATCAAGTCAAGTGTCAAGTCCTAAAAATAGTGACTCAAGTCTGACTCGAGTCCAAGTCACAACTTGCAAGTCCCACCTCTGGACTCAGCACAAGTTCAATAAACATCCTGTAAATCAAATGAAATGCTATTATCTCCCCCTGATTGACTGAATGATTGCATTAATATACATTGTTTTTATTGGCATGTACGCCATTTATGACACAAACCTGTAAAGGGACTGAAGATGGAAATAAGGTATTTTGCTCAAACCTGGCACAAACATGACCTCTTTGTGTAGGTCAGTGTTTTTGTGCATTGTCCCTGATAAATAAACAAATAAACTTAGACCTTCAAAATTATATCTTATTTTACTCTTGCCAATGAATCCCCATAGTTTTTCCATCTCTTGCTTGTCACATATATATTCACACACAGAATCAGATTGAAAACTGGAACATAATATGGATACTGTAAAACAAAACATCTGCCCTTTCCCTGTCTGTTTTGAGCTCTGATGACACTTTGATACTACACAATTCCTAAACAGTTTGGAAAAGTTGTGTTTAATGTATATTTAGACAGAAATTAGACAAGAATGCTTAAGAGTTGGACCTGTTCTCTTTTGTAATTTGTCAGTTTACCTGCAAATCCTGCTGCCGCCAGAGCCAGTCCCACAGCCACCACTGAACTGGCCTAAAACAGGGGAGAAAAGCAGCCACATTTAATACTGTAACTCTCATGTGTATAATGATTATATGAAATTATGAATGAAAAAAGATCATGTACCCACCCTGTGAAGTTTTAGTGATTTTTGATCAATACTTTTCAAGTTACAGCTCATTTAGTGAGTGGAGTATGTGTCCATTTACAGGCCCAAAATGCAAGTCATTTTTTCTCAGCCGTTTTCACAAGTCGATATCTCCGTAAGTATCACACATACAGAGCTGAAATTTTGTAGGCTTCTAGTCCTCTACTCTGTGTTCAAATAACAACGTTTGGTATGTCAACTCATTGTCATTTTATATTAACTTAAAATGAAAAAAAAAACAAAAAACTTGCTCATTTCCGTGGTGTACCATTTTTAGCCCTTGTAGCCTTACTTGTAGGTGTCAGAGACCCTTACATTTTTTGAGAATCAAGATATGTACTAGGACAGTTAAAAAAAACACCAAATGTTAAAAATTTGAAATAGGTTATGTGTGATGGTCCTGTTAAAAATAAGAAAATGTAACATGCTCCAATTTTCACATGTAATTTATGGCATGTGGGTAGTGATGAAAAAATTTAGATTTTTTTTTCTTGAAAGACCAGAAACATACCTTTCATATGGTACCAAACAAATGTATTTTATAATGCTCCATCAATTTTTTATTGTATCTTGTTCACATTTGAGGTTCCCGTAAATTGACATATACTCCACTTATTAAATGAGCTGTAACTTAAAAAGTAATGATCAAAAATTTCTAAAGGGACTATTTGGTATTTTTTTCAAAATTTTTTGAGATCGAAGTGCGTGGGGCCATTTGTTGAAATGGCGTGGAATGAACCTATACCTAAACATAGTGTGACCAGACGTCCCTGTTTACCCCGGGACAGTCCCAGTTTTGAGCCCTGTGTCCCCTGTCCCAGCAGATTTATACAAAACCACTGATTTGTCCCAGTTTAATACAAGAAATGTCCCAACTGTCTATTTTTGACCAACTGACTGGCTCATGTTAGTCATAAATGGTCTCTGCAGAAGAAGTTTTCTTAAATACCCACTCGTTTCACAATTTTTATTATTAACAACTATCCAAAACCAAGAATGTCCCAGTTTTTGATTTAGAAAATGTGGTAAAGCTGCACAGAAAAAACAATGTGGAGCCATTCACACAGCGGCTAACATTAGCATAGCACAGGATCTAGACTTGATTTCGTCTCATTTTTAGTACAAACAATGAGCTCTGTGCTCATTAAACAGTGCCTATTAGTCCGTTGTATATCGAAACCTCTCACCATCTCTGTAGATTAAGTCCAGCGGTTTTTAAAGGTGAAAATCATAACTTTTGACCTCTCATGTTTCATCTGCGGAGGGTGCAGTGTTGTGACGGAAAGCAGCAGGAAGTGTCGTAAAACAGGCATACAGGCAGCACGCGACCTGATCGGAGTTCATCTTTTTTTTTTTTTTTTTTTTTTTAATAAAAAATAACAAAATACAAAATACAATACAAAATACAAAAAAAAAAAAAAAAAAAAAAAAGGTCTTAACTGCATAAGCTTAACTGCAGTAGGTTGTTTTGTTTCGTTTTAATATGGCACAAGATTCTCTCTTTTTTTATTCAATATTTTACTAGGTAAGTCAATTGAGAACATCTCATTTGCAATGACAGCGTGGCCAAGAGGCAGAATAAAACAGCCCAAGCAGAACACACTCACACATCAGTCAGAAACAGAGAACACAGACATGAGACAGTAAAACATTTGCACATTACAGATATAAAAATGTTAAAAGCATGTCCAATAATCCTGTAAAATACTCTGGATGGAGTTTTTAAAAGTCGACAGAGGTAAAAACAAACTAAGTTTTAAAGTTTGTTGAAGGTGGTTCCAGTCCCTGTTGCAGAGACTGAAATGAGGAGCGTCCCAAAGCTGCAGCTTTAGAACTACCAGGGTCGTGTATCTGATGCAGCTGGAGCTGTGGATGTGCAGGAGTGAGCTGAGGTAGGATGGAGTTTTACCAATGAAACATTTATAAATGAACAATACTCAGTGTGTTTGTGAGCGAGTGTGGAGAGAGAGATACTTCACCAGAGAGTAAAGTGCACAGTGATGGTGATGAATGGTAAACTCCTGTGACAACGTGAATGTCTGCAGGATAAATCACATGGAGCTTCTGGAACAGTGTTTTTGATGCGGATCTGTAAAAGTCTTCATTGTCAGTAATTGGAATGGCTGTAGTTTTAACCAAAAGCTCTTCTGTGGGGCGTGCTTGCAAAAATTCATTAAGGTCAATTTTGAACAAGGATTTTAAATTTGAGAATTTGCATTTATGAATGAACTGTTTGGCTAGTAATAAGCAAGAATTATAGAAATGTTCTTTTTCGTTGTCTTGCAGAGTGACTCCATATATGAACTCCTTATAGTTACATTAGGTAAATCTGAATCATATTCCACTATCCACATTTGGAACGAGTCCCGAAAAATCTAAATTCATTGTTTTGTGCATTTATATCATCTTTCCTTTGAGTGTTGATAAGTTTTACTCTTTTATTCATTATAAAACTATCAATTTAATACAGTAAATGTCTCTAATCCAATTTTAAATTAAAGTTACTTCTGATACATGTATGTTATATTATAAATGTGACCACTGAAGTGCACTTCTATTTGAGCCACTAGTATATTTTGATACAATAGAAACCATTAACAAAGTATTTCTTTTCTTTTTCCTTTTTTACATTTTTTTTTCCACATTAATTTGCTATATCTAATCCACACACCTCATGCACCAGTAGGCATTACTATGTCATCTATTTTAAAGCTCCTATAATACGCAAAACTGATTCTTGTGAGCTTTTAAACATGTTATAATGTTGTTACCTCATCAAAAACAGGCCTGGAGTTGTGTCTTGTTTTATTCACACATGTTCGAATAATCCTGCATTATCAGTTCCATTTTGTGATGTCATCTGAGTGTTTTCTGTTTGAAAGAAGAACTAAATCCAATCCAATCCAATACACTTTATTTCTATATCATATTTCACAAACAAACAGTTTCCAAAGTGCTGCACAAATACATCATAATAACTAGTGTTGGGGAGTAACAGATTACATGTACCGGAGTTACATAATCAGAGTACAAATTATGAGTAACTGTATTCAGTTACAGTTACTGTTTCAATAAGTGGTAATTGGATTACAGTTACTTTGTTTAAATAAATGGATTACATTGTTTTCACATTTTGGGCTAAACCAGGACTAAACCAAGACTAAACCAGGAGTAAAACCAGGACTAAACCAGGACTAAACCAAGACTAAACCAGGAGTAAAACCAGGACTAAACCAGGACTAAACCAAGACTAAACCAGGAGTAAAACCAGAACTAAACCAGGTCTAACGAATATGACACTAACAGTAGGTGCACATAATTTAAGGCAGCAGTGATCTCATTTAAAAATAATTTCTCTATAAAAAATATTTTTAATTTGGTTAAGTAAAGACTGGACTTTTTATTTTCTTTTAACAGATAAAACATCTTATGTTAAGATTCTAGTCTTTGCTACTTTACAGTAAACAAAAGTCTGTTCATGGAGATTTGGGCTCAACAGACAATTTGAAGAAAACAAACAAGAATTTTCAGGATGTGGTTGATACATTCATGTAGCTTTAAAAAGCATGACAATATCCAGTAATCCAAAGTATTCAGATTACCTTACTCACTTTAAGTAATTTAATGGATTACGTTAGAAACTACATTTTGGGGTGTGTAATCTGTAATCTGTAGAGGAATACATTTTAAAAGTAATCTTCCCAACACTGATAATAACAACAATAATAAAATGATGAAATAAACTACTAAAATAACCATATTAGTCTTAAAATAAATCTGCAGGGTTTGTGTGTTAAATGTGTGAATGAAACGAAACACAACTCCAGGTCTGTTTGTGATGAGGAAAAACATAACACAGATCAAAACATACCATGAAGCCTTTAAGAATAACATGACTTATAAACCATATTGAATCTGGAGTAGTTTCAGAAGAATCACTATGTATAAAGTAAAGAAAAATAAATAAATAAATAAATAAAATGTTCCTTCAGGCATTTCTTCTAAGGCTGGGTTACAGGAGCAGTGGTCTTGACAGAGATGACTTCCCTCTCCGTGCACACTTCTTCCAGCTCCTCCCTCAACCACAGGTGAGTGGAAGCAGCATAGACAGAACTGAGAGCTTTTACATAGAAAACAAACCCACATCGACCAATATCTCTTATGGACGCAGAAACATCCCACAGCCACAAACTCTCCAGCGACAGAGCCAATATTATAACAGATGAACAAGACAAACAAGAGGAAGACAGACACATTGACAACGCTCTGACGCAACGGCAATACACAAAAAGGACAATAAACAAAGGAAAACAACAGGTCAGAAAGAAAGAAAAACAACCAAAAAAACAAAAATAAAACTGAAATAAGAGCACAGGCATGGGAACCTTACTGTACATCAGTGTCATAACAGAAAAAGTGCAGAGGGCGATGAGAAAACACAACATCAACACAACAAAGAAACCAAACAGATAACTCAGGCAAATACTCGTCCACCCAAAAGATCAAATAAAACTGGAGCATAAATGTAATTAGGGGTGTCAAATTATTGCATTAATTGCAATTAATTAATTACAGTCATATTTAGCGCGTTGTGTTTTTTAATCGCGTTAATCTAATTTTTAATCTCTTACTTTACTGTTTCTGTGCGAGTTGCTTTATTATAAAATCTGTTTTTATGTGTTGTTGGGACAACAACACACACACACACAAAAAAAACCCCACATTCATAATTTTTTTTAATTTTGGTAATTCCACTCATTGCCGGAAACCCACACAAAACGCGCGCAGTAACGTTAAGTTAAATTCATGTTAACGTTGGCGGCGTCAGTCACACAGTGAACCAGGTGGAAGAGCCAGTAGAACAGAGGCAGCAGTGCACAGGTAAAAACACATTCGTGTTTTGGAAATTCTTCTCCCGACGTGAAATATAAAAGAAAATAACAAATATAAAATCACCTACAACTTAAATGTCACTGGTGAAAACAACCTGCATAGGCTCATGATGTCTGCACTATTGTCCTACACACAAACACACACAAATACACACAAACACACACAAACACAAACACACACTCATGTGTAGTTGAGTGGTTGTAAGTCTTCAAAACAGTCCTGGTATTTCATAGTTTGTGGTGATAGATGGCTAACGCTAAGACGAAATTGGGGCTAACACTGGGTCTATACAGGTCTATTCGCATTTCATCCAAATCGGTATCTTACATTCTACATGGATGTGTGTTTGGCACTTGTATTGTAGGCTATAGATGTTACGAGATCAATGTTCTGAGGTGGAAAAACAGAGAAACTTACATTTTCATCCTTCAGTGTCTGGATGACTCCCTCCTCTGTGTTACGCTCCCTCAAAAACGCAGTAGTTGAGCATCTATTGCTACATAAACACACGGTAAACAATTAGGACAATTTTACTGTCACTTTACTCCATAACATTTCCACTATAAGCAAGCAGCATTAGCTCACTAGTATTTAAGCTAGCATTTTGTTTTGTTTTTTTATTTAGCTATAGCATGCACACTATGCCACGCTACTACACAATCCTGGATTTTATATAAGTATACATTTACATAAGCATACATTTGAGTAGGGAGCAATATACGTTGTCAAAATGGGGGGAGGGGAAACATATAAATAATGATATATCTTACCTTTATTTGTGTCTGCTGAAGTCCGAGGTCCAGCTAGCCATGCAAGAAGCACTTGCCAACTCAACCGAACACCACGCCCTGTTTGTTTAATTGGCGGCATTTTCTTAATTCATGGGAACAATTTAGCTAAAATGTGGGAACGATTTAATCAAAACGTGCGAATGATATAGCTAAAACGTGCAAACGATATATCTAAAACGTGCGAACGATATATCTAAAACGTGCGAACGATATATCTAAAACGTGCGAACGATTTAGCTAAAGTGTGGGAACGAATTATATATTGTGGGAACGAAATAGTATTTTGAGGCCACGATTTAATATCTTTTTTCGCGTACGTGATCGGGATGTCATCGGGCGGGCTCCGTAGTTTTCTCGCGTACGCTGCGTAAACTGCGCTTCCTCCTGTGCGCCTCTAAACCAGAACTAACACCAAGACTAAAACTGGGACTAACCCAGTCCAGGACTAAACCAGGACTAAACCAGGACTAAACCAGGACTAACACCAGGACTAAAACCATGTCTAAACCAGGTCTAAACCAGGACTAAACCAGGACTAAACCAGGACTAAAACCAGGACTAACCCGTTCCAGGACTAAACTAGGACTAAAACTAGTGATTTCATATATAAAGCATTT